CTCCTTAAGTGATTTGGATGCAGTTCTTAGAATCAAGGGACTACACTGAGAAGTACTGGTTTACTCCTTGTCTTCATCATGAATAATGAATACACTTATGGTCATCATGAATTAGTAAGATGTTGAAAGAAACATAATATGATTTTGATATCACAAGGTCACATTTCTAAAAGCCAGGGAGGAGCTGCATACTTTTGCTTGGTAGTTAAGGAATCTTGCAAGGATATTGCCTCTGTTTATAAATCTACAATTTCTGCTTGTGCTGAGTGAATCATGTTGCTCTGTAACAAATTTGGAAAAGAGAAACTAAAAATTGGAACATGTTCATGGGAGGCTTGGCAGCTGGAAGGTCACACAAAGAGTTGAGGCTGAGGGAGCCCCCGATGAGCAAATCGCCTGGGCCCAAAAAGTAAACAGAGGAAGCAGGCTGGCGGGGAAACAGAGGATGGAGAGGGAGACAGAGTGTGCCCACTGACTTTCCAGTTTCTACTGAACTCTTAGGAGGCCTTACTATGAGTTTCCCCTTGCAGCTTTAGAAAAAGAAAAAAAAATCCTATCTTTCATGAGCTACCTTGAGTGGGCTTCAGCTCCTTAGAGAGAACTGTTCGCCTTTAATGCCAACAGGTGGAGGAGAGTGTGATGTGTGAGGACAGAACTTATTGTCCAAACCAGGAATCTTCTGAAAGGAAAGAGGGTGCCAGTCGTTACACCAGGACAGCAGGTGTAAATATGCAAGGACTGTCGCTAGCAATGAGATACACAGTCCTCCCCGGAAAGGAAAACATGAACTAGGAGACCCAGCTTACACATTCTCATTTCATTTGGCCTTCTATAAGTCACTTATCTATGTTCCTAGAATCATATAAATATAAAGGTAATTTGATGCCTACCATCATCCACTTAAAAATGAACTTAGTCTCAGTATCCTTGACTATAAAATATCAAATTAAGTGATGGCTAAGGTTTTTTTCTTACTCTAAGATCCTAAGTCTTCATAGCTCTGAAAAGAGGCAACTCGGGATATGCAAATACGAGTCCTTTAAGATTATATATAGTTGAGTGTCTTTACATAAACAACAATGAAGATATTTCACTAATTTGACTTTTAAAAAGAAGATCTCTACGTATTCACCAATGGATGTTATCTGGTTAAATTACCAGTGATTATATTTCTTGAGGCATCAGGGGAACAGCTCTGCAGTTGCCATGGTTCCCAGAAGAGGCCAGCTGGGACTCCCTTGCCCAGAGCCTCGGGCTCTGGCAAAGGGTAAATGTATTTGTCCTGTTCATCTTATCCCTGAGACCTAATGCTATTGTTCTTCCTTGGCCTGCAGGAAACTAATAGGAAGCAAAATGTGAACCATCTCTTTCCCTCTCACTGGTTCCCTTGCCAGCCCATCTCTTACTGGCCAGCCCTGACTTTGTCCAGCTCTGCATCTTCATTTCTGGGAGATGTTCAAATTCAAGTCTAAAGCCAAATTTAATATTCTGAGCTGCATTGTTGCTCTCAAGCAAAGGTCACATGCCCATGTCATAGAATCTCCAGATTCTAGAGCTAGAAGGAACCTTATCTACTACATAAGCTTCAGTTTCTACATGAGAAAAGAATAAGCAGAAACAATAAAACAATTGTTAATGTCCGGGCATTGTGCAAGGGACTTTGCTAGATGCTTTACATCTATCACTTTATTTCCTTCTTGCAACAGCCCTAAAGAAGCTATTCTTATTACCCCCAATTTCAAAATGAGGAAACTGAGGTTTTGAGGGGTTCAGTAATTTGCTACTTGGCTTGTTCAATTTAATTCAAGTATTTGTTAATGAGACCAAAAGGAATTTTAACCACATTCTGCTGATTCTCGGGTCACTGTTCTTTCAACCAAAATGATCAATAGAGAGGCAACAGGCATTCGTCACGTACCTACCACATAGCATGCACTGTGCCGGTGCCAGGGCAATCAGTGGGGTTACCAAACGAAATGCAGTGTAACATAAAATCCTGCCCTCCTAGGCTCTACAGAGGAGAAGAGATTGCTGTGTCTGTTCAAAGTTGTCTTCAGGAAGATCAAAACGCTTGATAGAGAAGACCTGCTTACTGCTCAGTACATCCCCCAGGAAGTGCGTGTGGGCATAAAAGAGGGAGGTATCACTATGCCTCTTTTGTAGTTGAGAAAAGTTAAGTAGAAACAACTACAGGGTTTGCCCAGAGTGGGACAACTAGTCTTGGTTCCTTCCACTGCGTGCACTGGCCCAAATTAAAATCTCCTTTCAACCACCTCTGATCATTGCGGGATTCAAGGACAATTATCACGTGAGGAAAATTCTTCTGATAGGAATTATGTTACTAAGCTACTTGCAATTAGCCAAACCAGCTCATTAGGACTTCATCTCTTTTCTCCCCTCTACTTTTGATGTATTACAAGCCAGGGTGTGGACAATCTCCAGATAAAACAATTACAAACTGGGATTATCAGGGTGGATTATGTTACAACTATATTAAAGCCAAAATGTGAATGAATTGTTCATAATACTCCTGGAAGTAACGACCGTGGCCTCAGTCGATCACCTTATTCAGTGCCTGATAATGTGCTGAGTGCTCTACACAGATGGCCTCACTCAGTCTCACAACAGCATACACACAGAGACAGATTCAGGGTTGTGTGCGGCTGACACAATGTAAGGAGGCTCTTCCTAAGAAAAACAAAATTCTGGATGCAGAATTAGGTACAGAGCCTTGGAAGGACCTGTGCAAGTGAGGGGCTCAAAGCTTTAGCTTTGTACGTTTTATGGTAAATGCAGCACTGTGCCCAAGGCAGCTAACGTCCTCGCTTTCCCAAGTCATGAAATTAAGGCTCGGAGAAGTTAAGTAACTTGCTCAAAGTCAAAAAGCTTCTAAATGGCAAGGCTAGGATTTCAACACAGGCATCCGACTTGACATCTCATGTATAGCTTTCTTTGCTTACGTGGCTTCTAACAAAAAATAAAACTGTTATCGTTTACAAAGCACTAACTATATCCCTTCAAAACATCCACTTTCCTTAAGAATTCTTATAACCTTTCTATCTACAGATGGGGAAATCAAGGATCAAGAAAGGTTAAGCACCTACCTAGCGGAAGGTCACCCAGCTAGTACATTGGTGGTGCCGGGATGCACGCCCAGGAGCGCTGATCTACTGACTGAATCCTTACCCTTTCCCAGTGTCCCACAACCCTACAGGCGATCCAGGAGAGCGGAATGGTAATGAAGAGACCACATAGCCTCTGGGTAACTTACAATATTCCCATATCTACCCACTGACGCTAGCCCTGCCATTTAGTTTCACACATCACATTGTATAGTGTTCCGCAGTGGGGTTGGGTAATTCTGAAAGTCCACTTACCCTGTACTATAATTTATTAGTTGGCACAAAGCCCAATCCCTGTGGTGAAAACTGCATGAAAAGAGAATCACCAAATAGCAGTGCCAACTCAAACCCCAGCCTAGGTGCCTTACAGCTGCCCCCCACGAAGGAGAGTCCCACAGAGCATCTGCGTGCGGGTACGTCTGAGGCACTGGGCAGGACACTCATCTCACAGGGCTCTCCTGAAGCAGCCTTTCAAAGCCACGTAAGAAAATTCATACCTTGACTATAACTGGGTTAACTTTAGTCATCCAAGCAAGAATTTACATCCTTAAACAATTTTGCCATGGATTTTCAGGTGGACAGGAGTGAAAAAGATTCAGTTCAGTTTTTTCCTTGGACATGGGTGCTCAGGGAAAACAATGGTCTTTAAGAAGCTCAGACAATGGGCTTCATCTCCCCTTGGCAATGTGAACTTAAAAAAATTAAATTATGCTTTCCCATGGTGTTGTCTTTTTTCTTTTTTTTTTTTTTAGGTTGCCTTTAACTGCCAGATTTCAAATAATTGATGGCTTTTGGGAACCTCTGTTAAAGGAATACATCCGCTGCCGCCTGGAATGAGCCAGCTTTACTAATAGGGAGTGGGTGCGGCGGTCAAACCAGACAAGGCCTGAGATGCAAGTGCAAACTAGTGGGGGAAATTAGGCTGCTCCAACGTTTTGTTTTGTTTTGTTTTTTTAAAGGAAAAAGTGGTCACAGTAAAACTCTTGATCCTCTTTTCACACAGATTGGTGGGTCTGGGTGAAAGGGCAGAAGAAATGATCACCTGTGAAATCAAATGATGGAGAAGCCTTCTAAAATAACTAGCGAGCTCGCCAGCCCTCTCATGAAAGGGGAAGTGACAGTTTCAGAGTCTTCGAAGAATCAATACCTGCATCTTTGTCTGAAGCTTATGGCTGTTTGAGAAGAGCAAGAATCGACGATGAGACAAAGCAACACAGGCTGTTGGTACGAGAATAGCACGCTGCTAAGAAGGCTGCTGAGACACAGACTTTGACGGTCTGAACTGTCACCCAACCCAGAGGCCTGGCCTGGATAGCCACTGCCCTGCCCAGCCCGGGAAGGCAAGAACACAAGAGACCACACAACTTTCTCTCATCCCCAGCCCCTCGCCACTTCGAAGGCCACAGCAAGCAGCCAGCAAACTTGCCTCTATTGTTGTGTCTTTCATTTAGTTTTGTTTTTACAAGAAGAGGGAGGAAAATAAGTTGGGGCCCAGCAGAGATCTGGGTGTAGTACGGCAGGGGATGGAGACGGGAGTGGAGATACAAATGACATAACATAAGTGAAAGCCTTTTTAAAAAGTCTAGATCCACAGTCTTATTTATTGTTATAAACGGAACATAGTCATTGCCATTCCTTTCCATCCTTTAACCCTTACCTCTTACCCAGGGGAAGACAAGGAAGAAAGGAGGGCTCTAATACGCAGAGTTTGCAGAGGTGCAAATCTTCCCTGCGCGAGGTTCAGCAGTGGGAGGGGGAATGGAAGCGCCCCCCCATCCCCCCCCGCCCCCCGCTCGGCCACCTTCTACGGCGCGTGGATACACACACACACACACACACACACACACACACACACACACACACAGAGCTCCGCCTCACCTTCTCGATCGCCTGGTCCACGGCCTTCTGGAAGACCCTGGCCACTAGCAGCGTGACGCTGGTCACCAGGAGGAGCAGAGACAGCGTCCCTACCGCGTAGAAGCAGCACCTGGCCATTCTGCACGCGGCTCACGGGCAGGGCGGCGAACGCAGGCGACCCAACAGGAAGGGGGAGAGGCCGCCGCTGCGGCCGCCACACGAGCGGCGGGAAAACCAGGGACCCTCGGACGCCCGCGGGCCGGGCGGTGCGTTGGGCTCCGTGATCCGCGGCGGGGCGACAGGGCCTGCGGGGAACCCGGCCGGCCGGCCGTCCCGGGAAGGGAACGAGACGCTTTGGTTTCGGTTTCCTCCGATCGGGCAGCCGCGGTGCCCGCCTGGCGCAGCTCCGGAGCCTGAAAGGGAGCGCGCAGGCCGTGGCGTTCTCCAGCCTGCTCGCCGCAAAGTCCGGAGGCCACCGCGAGCAGCTGCGTGGGGAGGCGGGCGGGGCGGAGGCCGAGCCCGCAGTCATGTGCCCCGCGGCGGAGGCTGCGATTCGGCCTGCCCGAGCCGCGCCTGCCTGGGGCTGTTTCCCAGTGCCCAAGGCTCCCTGACACAGGCCAGGCCCCGCCGCGACCACGCCTGCTCGCTGCAGGCCCCGCGGTCGCCCCCAACATCGCCTGTCCTCCTTGGCTCATTCACATACTCTGCAGATACGTACTGCGGGCCTGCCAAGTGGCAAGCACTGGGCTTTCAGGATGGATGCAACATTGCCCAGCTCTAGACAAGTTCACAAGTTAGCGAAGACATTGTTACAGCAATTACAGAACAATGTAACCGCGCTTTTACGGGGTGCGTGCCGAGATCTGTACCAACAAGCACGTCCCCTGTGACCTAGGACCCCACAAATGAACTTGGGGTTGGGTGGATGTGTAAGGGTTTGTCACATGACGGAGGGAGGACGCATTCAGCGGAGAAGAAAAAGGTGTGCTAAGACTTTGGGGGTGGAAGAGCAAGTCTGTAGGAGGGAAGAAGGAAGTTCCTTTTGATGATAGCCGCAAGTGCGCAGGTGTGGCGTGGGAGGTGCTGAGGCCTGTTGGGACCGGGCATTGAAGGGTTTTTTGTGTCTCTTCTATAGAAGAGTTGGGACTTTATCTCTCAGCAGTGGGAGTCAGCAAGAAGCTTCAAGCAGGTGGCCCTGACGTTGGCGTCAGCTTTGCTCACCTCTGTGTACCAGGCACCCAGATTAAAGCCTGTACACAACAGAGAGTCAATAAATATTAGTGGAATGAATGTCAACTATATGTCAGGCTTTGACTGGGTGCTTACATACATCCACTTATTTAATACCCACAGCAGCCCTGTGAGCATGTGACTGCTTGTCCCAGTCCCTCAAAAGCAGTGCCCCACAGTAATGCTGTGCAAGTGATTTAGGAGGGAAATGGAACAGAGAGCTGGCCCTGAGATGCAGGTGGGATCCTTGTGAAGGAGAGAGGCAAGGAAGGAAGGTTGGGTGGAAGGAGGCACCTCACACTGCAGTGCAACTCTAAGAAAGCTCAGCAAGGCCCTGAAGGGTCCTTGAGCCAAACTGGCCTAGCCCAGGAGTCCGGCACTTTCCCGGCAGAGGCCTTTTGGTCTTGTTCATGGGCTGGGAGCAGCCCTAGGAAATTGGCCTTGGCACCAACAAATGAGTATCAGAGGACAGATTTCAGAGCTCAGCAGCTATGGCAGGGCCTTTGGTCAGTTACACGTTGCACTGGGAAATCTGAGGGACACATTTTCTTGGCCCCTGTAGTATTAGTACTCCCATTTGACACACAAGGAAAACACAGCAGCACAAGATAAGTAACCTAACAAGCTCAACCAGTTGCTGAGTGGTGGATCCTGCCTAGACTGGAATACAGGTCTCGTGGCCTCTGAAACCCTCACTTTTTCTACCCTGTGCATTGCTGCCTCTCTGCTGCCATCAGTGAGAATCTGGGGACAGGGAATTCAGCTGGGAGGCTTTGCTAAGGAGGTAGTGAGATGCTGGGCTGCATTAGAAATGGTGGCACATGGTTTGACACTCCTATTGGGTGGGAGGTGAGGTCTATACCTTCTCCCTTTGATTTTGTGCTGGATTTAGTGATTTGTTAAATCAATAGAATATGGTTGAAATCACCATATCCTGGAACTTCTCAAGCTAGATGACAAATGTCTTGCGACTTTTGCTCAGGCCTCTGGAAATCGTTGCTCTTGGAGCCATGAGCCACTACTAAGTCTGCTCCCCTGGGACCTCCATGCTGGAGAGAACATAGGAGACACTGCAGAGACATGCCCTGTTGATCCCCTCCCATCTGAGTCACGGGCCCCAGACACATGGAGCAGAGTGGTCCTTCTTTGCCCTGCCCAAAATGCAAAATAAAGGATTGTTGTTTTAAGCCACTAAATTTTGGTGTAGTGTGTTACTCAGTCTTAAATAACTGAAGCAGATTGTGAGGGAAGGGCTGAGGCTGGGACATTCTCAGTGACAGGGACTGTGCACTCCCAGCTCTCCCCAGCTGACGCTACGAAAGGTACCAGAGAACCAGACCACGGTGGGGTCTGGAATGATTCAAGTCTTCCAAGTGTCGTGGCCAGAGTGCCTGGTGGTTCCCCAACCTCATGTATCCACCACCGGCAGCCTTTCCTTATCCCTAATTCTGCCGCATCTCTGCTTTAGAGTCCAGCTATCCAGCTAAGCTCTGCCCTGTGCCCCGGTTTGCTTAAAGGGCCATGCAAACCCACTCATGCTCACTCATCCTCTTCCTAGGCATTGGTCGGGGTCTTCTGCAGTCTATGTGTGTCCGCTCCTTCATTAACTAGAAAAAAGATTAGGTAACCTGTCTGTTGTTTGGCACCTAACAGTTCAGGCTCGATTGGACCCCCTCTCTACCATGTCCTGATTAAGACCAGATTTTATGTTTGCTGGCTCCACTCTTTGGAGAAAACTCCATAGCTACCCACCTGCACCTGCTGTGGACCACCAACCCCAGTTCAATCTTCCATTATTCATTGAGGTCCCTTCTCGCTTCTTGTCTGGGCCACTAGGGAGTAGCAGGACTCTGGGAATGGAGGGAAAGACCCAGATTTGATAAACCCATCTCTGTGTGGGGAGCGTATCTGCGCAAGAGTTTCCAGCTCAGTTGCCCTCACTTCACCTTTCTGTGGAGGCTCTCACACTTGGGCGACGCCACTCGGTAGTTCCCACTGTCAGGTGGTTGGTAAGCTGCTTCCCCTTTAAAATTCTGCTTCACACTAGACAAAAAGCTCTTTCTTGGTTCTTCTTAGCACTGCTGACCAGACTAGCATTTTAAAAATCTACTAAACACTAAGAGAGAACAAAAAGGACTTAATTACAGAAAATACAAACAACTTAAAAGAAAACCTAAAACCTTGTGTCCCCAAAATAGCAGTCTGTGTGATCCCACAATAAATCTGTCCTATTGTAAAGAGCTGACACAACTTTTTAGCACCTGGCCTGGCTGCCTTTCTGTTCAGTTCCATTTTCTTCTCCACCCCATGGCAGCTACTCTACCCAAAGCCCCAAAATTCTCATACAAACTTCCCAAAGCTCCTTGATACCCACTCCTCATATCTGATCTATAGGATGTGTCACCTCCACTGCTAATTGGCACTATTAAGTCTTTTTTGTGTGTGTGCCACAGAATCATCTCACCCTACCTGTGTGGCTCCACCTCTCCATCCAGGGAGCGGTTGCTGCATGGCAGGTACATAGACTAATAGCCCCCCTAAAGCACTCTGCAGGGGCAGGCTGTGTGGTAAGAGATTAGTGCTTCTACTAGGCAGGTGGGGAGGCTAGTGCCCTGGCAGGGAGACAAGGAAGAGTTTTCCCTATGACCTTGCTATATCTACAATTAGAAGAAACAAAACTTTGAGAAGACTGAATGCCCTTTAGGAATGACTGTTGATGTCTGTTACAAATTACACAATCATTCAGGACTCAGAAAGAGAAATACTTCCTTCCCAGACTCTTAAGACAGTCTCCAGGACAACAGACTGTAACACTGGGGAAAGCAAGAAGGGTTCTTTAGGCCCCACCTTAAATTTAGAATAAGTTTATATTGTTACATTAAATGTATATTGATATACTCAAAGGAGGTCTATCATATAGTCATTGCATACTTGTATGTTCAAAGTGTTAGGGTGTTAAATGTAAAGATTGCAAATACACCACAATTTTTACCACCCCATATGGCAGCCAATCTCCAGATATGACAGTCAACAACTCTTCTTTCTTTATAGGCTCCTGCTGCTCCTGCAATCGAAGGTGGAGTTTATTGCCCTCCCCATAAATCTGGGCTGGCCTTGCACCCTGCTTCAACTAAGAGAATGTGATGGAACTCGTGATAGAGGCCAGTTCCAGGTTTAGGCCTTAAGGGACCTGGAAGCTCCTTCCTTTACCTAGTTGGGGTCTAACCATTGTGGTAGAAGCTTGGATTCCACAGGTGGATGAGAAGAAGCCACATGGGAGGGAACTGCAGAATGAGAGGCCATCAGAGATGTCACAGTCCGTCTAACTCCCAGATGAATCGAGTCATACGCTGCATGGAACAGAGATGACAAGCCCTCCCTGTTGAGCACTGCACAAAATGCAGAGTTGTGAGCAAATGATTGAACGTGTATTAACCTCTAAGTTTTGGGGTGGTTTGTTACAGCATGATAGATAACCACAACACCGTGTTTTGTTATTTATTAATTACTTTAATATTCCAGGGGCCTAAAAAAAGAATGGAAGTGACCTTAGGCCTTACTTACTGGCCCCAGGGAATCACAAAAGCACATGGCTATGCGGTCTGCTCGCAACCCGAGAGACCAGAAGGTACAACAGAAGGGTCAGATGTTATGATGGAGCCAGGGCAGCAATGGCAGACCATAGGTGGCTGCTCTGGCTTCGTGCACTAAACCTGGTTGGCATGAACTGCAAGCCCTGGTTAATGCCACAGGTACAACACGGGGGTGCTGGAAGCCCATTCTTGCAGGGGCGATGGTGGGGGTGGGGGCTGGGGGTAAGGCTGGGACTGGAGCTGGGTCTGTGGTGAGAGTCGGGTCAGGAGTGGGTACTGGGTCAAAGGCTGGATCTTGAGCTAAGGATGGGGATGGGGCTGGACCTGGGTTTAAGGCTGGGCCTGGGCCTGGGCCTGGGGATAAGCCTGGGTCAGGAGCTGGTTCCTGAAGGCCAAGTCCCTCCTTCTGGGCCTTGCCCTGGGAATGCGTGGCAGAGGCCTGTGGGGTGCTGCAGGTTCATACCACAGCTATGCCCTTTCTCGTGCTGTGAGATCAGCACATGGACACGCGGTCTGGTATACTCACTGGCCATGTGGGCGTGAGCAGCCTGGGGGGCTGGACCTTCGCGGACAGAGACCCTCTGCCTTCGCACGACCAGCTGCAGTGGTCTGGCGGCGGCCCTGGGCCCCAGGAATGAGAAGAAGGTGCAGAAAGCAATGGCAATGCTCTCCCTACAAGAATACTCTGAATGGAGAAAGAGCCTGAAGCCAAAAAACTATCCTAAGTTGCTTAGAAGCCTTGGGTTCCAGAATAAAACTGGAGTGGGGTTTCTGGATACCAGCTCTGGTTCTGGGGGTGGCCGGGTTATTTTATGTTTTGTGGGAAAGTTTGGCACGGAGCCGGGCATTTCCCAGCTCCCCCAAGTGGGGCAACATTTAAATAAAGAACTTTTTCTTTCCCCACCAATATCCGTTTTATGCCTGTGTTTGATGATAGGTGGCCAAATCCCACTTTGTTTGGTAACAGTTTTGGCAACACTTGATGGGACAAAGTGGACCTTCGTCAGGTGCCTCTGGCAGGTTGACTCCACAAGTGTGGCTGTGAGGATTTCCTAATCTCAGGGAACTTCCCTACACCTCAGCTCAAGGCACCAGTCACTGGGAACACCAAGATGGTGGAAGGAAACAGGTCTGGGGAGGAAAGGGATGCCAAGACCAGGTGAGCTGAACCAGCATGCACACTGGGGGCTGGGCACTATGCCACATGGGTTCTGTTAGAACCACTGGGAGTACTGCTTGGTCCACCACCCCGCCATTCTGGCTGCAGGCCATGTGGGCACTTCACCAGTCAGGCTATGTGCCACATGGGTACCGTTCAAGTTTCTGCACAACTTGGATTTGATGGGGACAACTCCAGTTCTGGGGTCACAAACTGGGGTCCAAGGAAGACCATTTAAACTCGCACCTGAGATCTGATGGGGACTGCTTGAGCTCTGGAGGCCACGAACTGGCTCCAGACAAGGACTGCTCTGAGAGCCATGACCAGGGATCTCAGCAAGGGTTGCCCACATTCTGGGTGGGCACTGGAAAAACAGGCTTGGGAAGGAGACAGACTTTAAGTGGGGTGAGGATCACCCAAATTTGGGGGGCCACTGTTCAGGGGCCACTATATGGTCCTCTGGCCCCACAAGCAGGTCCCCAGGAAGATTGCTTTCCTGAAAGATGGCAGGGAAGGAACCTTAAGACATTTTGAGAACCTCAAGGACTTGAGAAACATAGGTACTTCAGGGAAAGCTGTATGGCAGTTGTGCAACTTGGCGTCTATGCCCTGAAGGACTGACTAAAGCTCAATCTAAAGGTTCCTCATGTGAGTTACAGCAAAACATATATAAAGAGTCTTTGTGATTAATTACTGTTACTGTGTTTATGCAAATAATCATGAAAAGTTAAAAACAGGACTTAATGCAATCCCTTTGCTGACAATGAGGGAAATCTTAAGGGAAAAAATTGTGTTTCAAGAAAAATCATAATACTCAGTTGTGGAAATTGGGCTCTAATACAGCAAACTGTCCTCAAAATTTTGTTTTCACTTGAAAGGTGAACTGGATTCTGCATATCAGTCTTACCTCAACACCTGATGACATCATCAGGGATGTTCAATTTACAGGCAAAAATAATTTCTTTTAAAAAAAGAAGAATTTATCTAATTGCCACTGTTGCATATCATTTCAACAAAGGTCTTACAACTGGACATCTTCTCAAAAGACAGCATTGCAGACTCAGAGACTGGTTTATGATTTGTGGTGTGAATGAACCTTTGTGTTCTTCCTTCTGTTTTCATAGGGTATATGCCTATAAGCTCATCTACCTGGGTGTTTGTTTACATAGTATAGCCCTCACTTTAGAGGCCCACCTGCATTGCCGCCTCCTAAGATGCAAAGATTTCACTAGACTAGATGGTTGAGTTGGTGAAGTATGGGGTGATCAATTGACTTTGCTTTAAACTGTTTTCCTTTTCTGCCCTAACAGTACAGATAAAAAAAGGTCCACTATTCTTCAGAGATGGGGAACCTAAAAAATCCCCCTCAGCCTGAGTTAAGTTAAACATAGTGGACAAAAGGGCTTCGAAAAGGTGTGACATGCCTTATACGCCTTCCTCCAAGGAAGACACTCCTTCTTAATCTGCAATATTGTAGAGTTAGTTCCTACCTTTGTCACTTAGTTATTATGGTTCTGACTATGTCTTCTAACCCTCCTGCCAAACTTATCACCTCCAAAATACCACAAGAATGTCAACTTGTCCAGCAATGCCATCCTTTGGATATCGCATATGCTGCGTCCCAAGGACAACCAACTGATCTGGACTTTGCAAAATCCTCCTCCCTCGCATGAATGTTTCCCTTCATTCCCAATCCCTCTTTTTGTTTTCTGAACCCAGAGGTGGGTAGGACCACATCCTTGGCCAGCAGAAAGTAGCTACAGAAAAATGAGACCTTCACCCATTTGCCTTCATAAGATTACAAAGGTCCAGAAGTGTTAAAGGGAGGAATTGTAAGAGGGGGATCTGGCAAGAACCTTGGGGGGTGGGGATGAACCCCCCAGCAGCACAAGAGCATGCCTTCCCTAGAGTGAAGGAGGGGCTGGGAAGTGCCAGAGGCAATGGAGGGAATTGCAGTAGTAGTGAGCCTGGTAGATTTCCATACACCTGGGTAAAGGGTAATCAAACCAGCCCCACAGCGTGTGGTGCACCCCCCCTCGCCATAACAGAAGCTACAGTTGACTAGAAATCCTCCTACCCTCTTTTAACTCATGGCAACAGAAGGGGCAAGGAAGCTGTGCGGCCTGATGAGCATAATGGACCCTAGCTGGAACTGGCTGGGAATTAGGACGCTTCTGCTGCATGTATGTGGGACTTTGAGACCGGGAAGTAAAATGAAGGGCAGGCACTGTCTCACCTCTTTTTCCTTCTGCACCCCCTCACTTGCCTGGTTGGGAGCCGGCTCATGGACAAAATTACTAGATGGAGCAAATACTAATTTGTGAGGAAGCAAAAGTCATGAAAATAGGTGCTTTTTTTCTTAATTCATGTAACAAATACTAGAAACTAAGACCAAAGATGACAAAGACCAAGTTTGTTTATTCTCCGTTGCCTGACATCCTCAGTGCCTAGCATGGTCATAACAGACAACAGTTGTTCAGTGAGGACCTACAGCATGCCGGCCAGGCACAGGACTAGGAGCAAGATGGACATGAACCTTACCCACAGTCTTATGGAGAAAATCCTACTTCCTCCAAGTAATTAAGCTTGAATTTGCAATCAATCAAACTATACCAAAGATATTATCAAAGATAGTAAAAACAACTAATCAGGCTCCTTATAATGATTACATTTGTTAACTGATTCCTGTAACAGTGTTGTGAAGTAGACAAGGCAAATACGCCTATCTCCAAAAGATAACAATGGTACTCAGCAGTGAATGAGGGATTCTGAATCCCCAGCACTGTGCTCTGCATCCATTATCTCATTGCATCTCCCAACAACCTCATAGGCAGATACTATTATTTCCCCCGTTTTCAGACTAGGAAGTCAATGAAGCTTAAAAACGTTCACGCTACTGCGCCCAGGTGTGCGTAATTATTAAGTGGCAGAATAAGGGTTCATCCGAGGTGGTGGACTCCAGGGCTCTCCACTGTGCGCGGAGAAGGCGGGTGAACATGCACAAGTGGAGGTGCTGAAGCTAGGACAGCCAGGGTACTTTTAATACTATCCACATATTTACTAGATTCCTAAAGGTGGAACCAATTCATTATCAGAGAGTCTGAAAATGAGAAGACATCTTTGACTACAAAAATTATTCTCCCACGACAGAATTTAACTACTGTAATAATTTTGAGACAGGAGAATGCTTTCCTGCTATTTTCTCTGGAAGCAATGCTTAATAATTCAGTCCGAAACACTTCAGAAGTAGAAAGAGAACTTAAAAAAGCCAAAACATCCTCGTGCGATCCACATATACATGAACATGTGCCTACCAGGTCCAACTGGATGGTAATTTCACTGCTGGAAGTGGGTCAGGGGAAAAGAGTCAAATTGCACGCGAGCTGGAGCGGACCCTGGCCATCAGCGGGTGACTAGCCGGCCCCGCGCAGCCCCGGACTGCGGAGGCTGCGGTGCCCGGGCGGTCCCAAGACCTCCAGGGAAGCATTTCATGCTAAAAATCCTTCTCACCAGTAGACATCAGCCTATTCCTTCCCTCTCTTTCCAATCTTTCTCTTGCTCTCTCTCCAGCCAGCTGCTTTCTTCCTTTCTTCCCTTAAACGAAAATTTTTTGAAAGGGTTGTGAGCGAAACAGACAGGGCCCAGTTTAAGGTAAATCTCCGTGAGAAGGTGAAAACGGCTTCCCAACAGATTACAACATAATTAAACCAAGGACTAGGTCCTATCCCTTCCCTCCCAACGCACCCGCCTCCGGGGCCGGAGATCCCCGGGGCGCGAGGGATTGTGAGGTGCAGGGACCCCTTCTCCGAAAACGCTGGGCTCCTGGGGGCGGGGCGTCTGGGCTGCCGGCCGCCCCTCCGCCACCAATCTGATCCGCGCGTGGCTTTGTGGTCTCCTAGCAACCCGAGAGACCGGCCCGCACGGGGACCAAACGCTCGGCCGTTACCGCTGAGCCGGTGCGGCGATGGCGGACCACAGGCTCAGTGCGTCCAGCTGGGTTGGCAGGAGCTGCGGGCCCTGGTAAACGCCGCGGTGACTCCTGGGGACGCCTGAGTCCCTTTCTTGCTGGAGCTGAGCTGGGGCGGGGGCTGGGCCTGGATCTGGGTCTGGGTCTAAGGCTAAAGCTGAGGCTGGGGCTGGAGCCGGCTCTAAGGCTAGATCAGGGGCTGGGCCGTGGTCTAAGGCTGAAGCTCGGGCTCGGGCTCGGGCTTGGGCTGGGCCTGGGGCTGGGCCTCGGCCTGGGCCTGGGGTGGGGGTGGCAGACAGGCGGTGTTCGGCTACGGGCCCACTTGCCTTTCCTATTCAAGGTCTCCAACCCCTAAGTGACTATAATATAACCAGAGCTCGATGCTAAGGACACATTTTTTTCTGTTATCCTTACAACCCCGAGGGGATGTAGATTCAAATACCTATTCCAGATGGGAAAGCGATCACCACAGAGTCCTCTGTGGAGACTAGTTTAGCCTAGGCACACCCTTCTCATGGGGTTAGCCAACGAGGGGGATCCCTGCATCCCCTAAGAGGGGTCAGATGCACCTGGAGCCCTTGGTCACCCAGCTGGTGACTGGGGTGAGCAGAGCCTGTGTTTGGGGGACTGTCTCCCATGTTGGGGTGATCTGTTACCATTTTGAATGCCTAGTGTCACAGGCACAGGGCAGGAATCCAAGACTTTTTGCCTTTGCTGATTCCTTGAGCCGTTTATGAGAATGGAATTCTGCTCTCTTGGAGGCTGGGCGACGTGGTGGTAAAGATCCCAAAGTGTAGAATCAGAAAAGCTGGAGTCGTAAGCCAGGGCTCCTCTTGCATGCAGGGTTACCTTAGGCAAGTTAGTTGCTCCTTCTGGGATCAGTTTTCTTAAGTGTAAAATGGAGACAACAAGAAGAATCAGTTTTATAGGATAATTGTGAGGATCAACCGACATAGCACATGCGAAGCAGTTACTGGCACACTGTATGTATACATGTTGGCAGTGATGAGCTTTTTGGCAATCCCCTTTTCTGTTCATTTTCTAACTCATTGTTTTGAAGTAATTACAGACTGTAAATAAAATATGGACACTGAAGTTCTCTCACAATGTTTCAAATAAGACCCTACTTGTCCTCCTCAATGGTTTTGGAGGAGGTCTTGGACTCCGGACATTGAATTTTGGAAATTTTTGCACCGATGGACCCTTCTGTGTTCTTGACCTGTTGGGCTTTGGAGAAGTGGTAGACCCATGTTTGACAGTGACGCAGAAGAAGCGGAGAATCAGTTTGTGGAATCCATTGATTGAAAAGTGGAGATGTGCACTAGGACTGGACAAAATGATCTTGTGTGGATTCAACCTGGGTGGGATCTTGGCTGCTTCTTACTCACTCTAGTACCTGTCAACAGTTAGTTATCTCATTTTAGTGGATGGAGTCCTGGGGTTTCCCTGAGCCATTGGACCTTGCTGATGAAGACAGACCAATTTCAGTCTGCATCGGAGCCTTGGGAGCAGCATCGACTCCCTGCAACCCTTCAGCTGGCTTCAGGATTGCAGGACCATTTGGTTTAAGTGTAGTATGGTGTTTAAGGCCTGATTTCAAATGGAACTATTCTTCAATGTTTGAAGATGATACTGTGACAGAATACATGTACCACTGTGATGTACAGACGCCAAGTGGTGAGGCAGCATTCAAAAATGTGACTGTTCCTTCTGGACGGGCAGAAAGGCCAATGCTCCAGCTAATTGGTTAAATGGACCTTGACATTCCAGTTTCGGGGATTACATGGAATAAACAAGACAAGGGAGACGCCTTGCACAGCCCAGTGATAATGTGCCCTGAACTAGGAGTATGATTAATTCAACCTTTTCCATGTGAACCTCTCTTCCTTCACCTCCCCTCAAAAAGGCGGCCTTACAGCTTTCTTTTCCCACCGCAACTCTTGTGGTCCATATAACGGGGCACGTTGTCTTTCAGGTACAGAAAGAATCTGCCCTAGAACAGGCCGGCATTCCCTACCTTCGAGAACACAAAGCAGTGGGTATTTCTGAGAAACAGACTGGATGACTTCCAGTGAGGGTGCCCTCCTTGGGAAGGTATAATCACTCGGGGCCTTCAGGAGCTCTCCGTCCCCCAGACAAATCACCGAGTCCCCAGACCTCCCCCTGCTAAGAAGGCAGAACAAGCTGCCTAAGGAAGGAGACTCTGTTCCAAGCTCTCACCAGCCTGGAAGGTACAGGGGCATTCGTGGCAGACAGTGAAGCCCAGCCGACCCTGCAGCCCTTGGCTTACTACCTGAATCTGGGAGAAGAGCTCCTGTCTGAGGGTTGTGGGAGGGCCTTCCCTGGGGCCTAGAAAATAATTCTCCTTAAATACCTGGAGAGTGCCCTCTAGGGAATGATATGCTTAAAGAGAGGAAAGGATTAGGAATGTCTCCCTGCCCCCCTCCCCCCCCCGCCCCCCCCCCGTGGGAGTTTCCATGGGGATTTTAGCAGCTTCCTTTCAGCAGCATTTCCCTTTGCTTTCCATGAGGCTTCACAACTTATAAAGGTCCAGCACACTGGAAATATTCAACTTCTTTTCCCCCTGAAGATCCACCCTGCCTGTGATTTTTTGGGGGAGGAACACAGTAGAAGGGAATTGTTCAGTCTTGCTTCTGTCACTTAAGCCTGCTCTTAGGAGGTGTCAATAAGTACTTACTAACTGATGGGTATAAGGCATATGCAAACCTGCAAAGTCGCAGGGAAAATCCACCAAACTGTCAGCCTCAGGTTGGATAGCAGCTCTGTTATCTATGGTCTGGGACCATAGTCCCAGGCACCTTTAGACTTTCACTTCCACAATCCTCAGCATACGTCTCTAGTTCTGTGTCTCAAAATGGCTTCCACACCTCAAGGCACAAAGTCTTCCAAACAAGAAGGGGGAAGGGGCAATGTTTAAAGGGTACATGCCAGCTGTCTTTTAATTAGGCAAATACAGTTGACCCTTGAATAGGACCAAACTATGCAGGTCCACTTATAGGGGAATTTTTCAGGAAATACTCTTGGCCCTTCCTAGCGATTGGTTTCACTTTTGCAGATTCAACCAACTGCATATAGAAGACAGTACATTCACATTCCCAACTGCAGATTCCCAACTGCGGATCTAAAATACTGTTTTCAATCTTGGTTGACTGAATGCAAGGATGTTAGGGCCCACTACAGAGTCAAAATTTCTACAAAGATTGTTGACTCTGCAGAGGTCAGCATCCTTGCCCCTTGCATTGTTCAGATGTCTACTGTGATAGCTTTCCCAGTAAGCAGTTCATTCATCTTACCACTCCAAGATGTTAGAGAGCCTAGAAAATTAAGTTTCTTGGTTGGGTATTACAAAGTTGAGCATAATGCAGAACAAATTCGTCAGATTTAAGCAGAACAGAGCAGAATGGGTATTGGGCAGAAACCTAGCAGTGCTTGCTGCCCCGCCCCACCCACACAGTCTCTTTCCTACACGGGGCCATGACAGTTGTTCAGGAAGGTGAACTGCTTTGCAAAGTCCCCCAGCAGCCCCTTCTCACTCAGAATTAAGTCCTTGCTGTTGCCTGAAAGGCCCTACACGCTCTGCTCTCCACCCCACCCTCCTTGTGCTCCCTCTTCATCCTCACTGCCCACCCCTCTGCTCTCGCCTGCTGCAGCCACCATGTTCGCCTGCCTGCTCTGCGAACACTAAAGATATTTCCAATTCAGAGCTCTGTTCCTGTGTCTGGGACACTTGCCTCAGATGTCTGCTTAACTCCTTCACTGTCTTCAGATCTTTGCTGCAATGCCTCCTACTTTGAGAGACTGTATGTAACAACATTTCCCTTCCACCCTCATTCTCTATCCCTTACTATGATCTATTTTTCAATATAGCACTTATCACCACTAGGCTCCTCACTAGACTAAAAGCTCCACAGGGCAGGGACTTTGGGTCTTTCACTGTGTACCACCAATAGATGACATATGGTAGACACTCAAAATATGTTTTGTATAATGATCGGATGGAGAAATAAATGATCAGTGGCAGAGAAGTTTATTGAAAGGACAACTGGAAATTTGAACCAATTCTTTCCCACCTGGGGCTTTCCTGCACTGCCTCCTGCAGGTCAGAGTTTCTGAGTCCATGACAAATAGATTGTTTGCACATGCCCTCAGATGGCATGTGGGATCGTGGAACTTATTTCCTTATTTGACCTCCCAACTAGGTGTGGTGGCTTTTTTCTGAGGCTAGACCTTTTTAATGGTGCCGTGATTACCACCAGCAGCCTCTAGATTTAAATTCTACCCAGGAAGAGAACATCTATTTCTGCATATCTCAGAAAAATTCCGTAGCTTAATTTCCATGGGTCCAACTTGGCTTATGTACCTGTTCCTAAACCAGTTGCTGATTTAGGTTCTGATAAGACTGGCCTGCCCACTGAGAATGGGGTCAGGCCACTCCAGACCCTGAGGACCAAGAGTGCATGCGGAGGCGGCTCACCAAAGAAAAATCTAGGTACTGTCACTCATAGGAGGAAGATGGATGCTGGCCAGCCTAAAACCACGGAAATCTTTTAGAAGCACTCAGTGGGGCAGCTGGGGACGAGGGCAGACCCAGAGGCATCATGATGAGATGGAATCTTCCCCAGCAGCTCTTACAGAGTCACGATGACACTGTAAGATGAGATGAGATGGAATCTCAGTACAGAGACTGCCTACTTAATGTCTAGATGATGGAAGTTCACCCACAGCACCCAGCCCAGCATCTGCGCAGAGACTGGTGACTGCATTGACTGACTGCAAAGGAAAAGCAAAGGGGCGAGATGGTCTGTTTTGCTGTAGAATCAAGGAGCCCCAGTTTTCAGCACATCTTCCTTGCTTCCAAAACTGTTTTTCTCTTTGTAGCTCTTACTAAAGGCTCTAGAAGTGCTGGATCCTGACAGGAAACTGGAGGACACATGGGCTCATTGTGAGGACATCAGGAAAAATCCAAAGGAACGTGTAAAACGTTTTAAAAACCATTCCACCCAAGACCACCTGGGACTGTGCATTATATTCTAAACCCCATGTTCATTCCTGGCACCTGAAAAACATTTTACGAGCTACCTTCTCAAAGCTCCTCATCTTTAGAAAAATTTAGAAAAGCAAGAGTAACTAAGTTCCTGAGGAGAAGGGAAAGGACCCTTAAATCCTGCTCTAAATAGTGGGGTTTTTTCTTTGTTTTTGTTTTCTAATTAATGGATGTGAATTATCTAGTAGTGGAGGAAATGTGCGTGTCATCGTGACTCTGTAAGAGCTGCTGGGGAAGAGGAAGACTGCAGGAAACCCCGTTGATTGTCCCACAGGGGCTCCATGATTTGTGGCAGAGCCCTTTTATTCACATGATTGAAACCAGTAGTTGGTTGGGTAACTTAAAAAAAAAAGTTAATGGAGGAAATTGTGAAAGATGACCCTGAAGTCATTAAAATATCTTATTTTAGCCTAGAACATAACTATACTTTCACATGCTAATCTTTTAAAGCCTTTTTTTAAGTATGGATCTGCTGCTTGGAGTTCTGAGTCATCTTTTTTACATAAATCACACTAGTAATGACATCTTTGTCAGATCTTTTCAAAGCACTAATCTTAATTTTCATCGAAACAACTCGCTTTTGTACCACACTCTTGTTCCCCATGTAAATGCAATGAGATGGTATAGTTAACAGTACAGTTAACAGAAATAGATTTGGGATATGCATTTAACTTTTGAATTGCCATGGGGTCACTGGTAGGGGCTGAAGAGTGTGGATGCAATAGATAGAAGCCCGTCCACAACACCCAGACCACTTGCGGAGGACCCCCGGGCCGTGGTCAGGGTGTTTGGAAGGGGCTACGGACAGCTTTACCGGTCACACAAGTGACCTATGTGGATGTGGAATGAGAGAAAATCCACTCTATTAAATTATACATGTTAGGGTGAGACACAAAGTGAGAGGAACCCCACCGTTCTGGTCCCTGAGTACCCCCTGGTAAATCCGAAGAGAACAACTGAGCACGCTCCTCTCAGCGTTGCCCTCCTTTCACCGGGAAGCAAGACGGCCCACGGCTTCTGGCAGTTAAGCTACAGAAAAATTCCGTAGCTTAATTCCCACGGGTCCAACTTGGCTTACGTACCTGTTCCTAAACCAGTTGCTGATTTAGGTTAGAGAGAAGCCTGACTTCTCCTCTGTTTCTTCCTTCCTGAGGGAAGCCCCACCCTGGTTCATCCTGCAGGGGCCCGGCTTGGGCAGTCTGCCCATTCCTGCCTTTCAATGAGCAAGTCTTCTTGGACTTAAACCCATTTCCTCCAATGTGGTTGCTGTCAGTAACAAAAGTGACATGTTGGTTTCATCTTTGACCTTTGTGTTATTTTTTAAGATGCTTGGAACCTGGGTAGGGAAGAGGGAGAAGTGTTCTACGAAGGGATCCCCTTGGAAATTCTAACAGTGTGGGTGGGCGTGGCCCTGGGAGCATCGTTAAATTCTTCACCCTCGGTGAACCATTAGCTAGTTATGATGGTATGTGAATTGATCTCAATTCTTAAAAAGAAGCCACTGAAGAGAATTTAATTGGGGATGAAGTGTGGCTGCATTGGATATGACCAAATTTATATTTTGAAATGATCATTTTGGCTGGAGTTTAGAGAATGGTTATGGATTGGGAGTTGAGGGTGCTAAGAGAAGATTCAGGGACACCAGCGAGGAGTCTTGGCAGCAGTCCAGAGAGGAAAGCAGAATCTATCAGACTTATGAATGGTCTGGACAGAGAGGTCAAAGATGTCTCCTGCTTGTCAAGGTTGTCTGAGACTTTGGCACCCTCCAAGCAAAGTAATTTGTGCTTTTACCTGGCACATGTCCACATGTCTTAATAACTGGTACTCATAATCTTAAAAATCACCTTATAATTGGAGGATGTTATGTAAGTTTTCATTGTTATCCCTAGTCATGATATTTGCATCTTTATAATATTGATAATAAGAATTGAATCTTTGAAAAATTAAAACAATAAGTGTGAGCTTGTGAGAGACTGCTGGAAATACTTGTTTTATGATCTCCTTTCCCCCAAGATACTGTTTGAATTTCTCTTGGATTTATGGTGGTTCATATTGCAGTGGTCTCATGATCCCATTTTATTTAGTCCCAAGAGCACTCCTCCATCGCGTCCAGGCTCATTGCTTTATGAAATGCAGAAGTCAAGTGAAAGGGACTCGCTCTGTGAAGATGGCCCGCTTCTCTACGAAAATGCACGCAAAGCAGTCCGTGACTTCTGCAAATGGGCTAGTGATACTGTAAGTTAGTAGTAATACAGCTTTGTAGAGTCAAGCTCAAAGTTGCTTTTATTAAAAAACAGCAGTGTTTGTATATAATCTAAGTCAAATAATCAAAGTCATAAAGCAATCTTCCTGACTCTCCCGCCATTTATAATAGAAATGTTTCTCGTAGATGAATTTTCTGGAACGTTTTTAAGTTTGCAGCAAATTTGAGTGTTTATTGTTTATATCTCACTTTGTTATTGTTTTCTCATAATTTTTTAAGTGGCTGTCTTTTTTTTCCCCAGATTTACTGAGATATAGTTGACATACAACATTGTGTCGGTTAAGATGTACAATATGACGATTTGATACACGTATATATTGCAAAGTGATTATTACAATAGCGTTAGTTACTGCATTCATCACTTCACATAACTATCTCTGTGTTTGTGTGGTGAAAACATTTAAGATCTACTCTCTTAGCAACTTTCAAGTCTATAATACAGTATTGTTAACTATAGTCACTATGCTGTACGTTATATCCCCAGAATTTATTCATCTTATAAATGGAGTTAGTACCCTTTGGCCAACATCTTCCCATTCCCTGGCCCTGTTGTTTCATATTTTTATTTTCAATTTCAATGTCAGGATCTTTACCCTTTTTCCTTCACTCCTTGAGCTCATTTTTCTTAGTTAAATTTATTGAGCAGCTGTGCTTGACTACAACCTTTACCAAAAGTTTTTCTGACATAAAGAGAGTTTTGACTCAATTATCAAGACCTTTTTCCTTGCTCTACTTCCAAGAATCTATTTGGTTACATATTCCTGTTCTCAGGTCCCTATAGATGTTGAGATTTCCGATGCTTTCCCTGGATGTGAGAACTTACAGGATTTGCGAGCTCCCTTCCTCATTTTTTGAGTGCATGAGTCTGTTCTGGTCAGAGTATTATTTAAGATCATTCATTGTCAAGTGAATGACATATTCTGACTGGATTAAGGAAGAAAAGGCAGCCATCCAGAGGTTTTAGTAGCTGCAGGCACAATTGGATCAAGGTGCTAACATGTAGTTAGGTACCCTCCCTATCTCTTGGATGCTTTCCTCTAGCTGACTATTTTCCAGCAGTGTTTCCCCAAGAGATGAAAAGTAGCCACTTAAGTAGTGATCTGAGTGGGGAAAGAGCAACCCCTTTCCAACAGGAAAAAGTCCAGGGCTCAGTCTCCTTGGGTCACATGCCTTGTGCCTGAATTATTCACAGTGAGTGGGGCAATGAAATATGCTCATTGGCCAAATGAGGTCTCCTGTCTAATCCGGAAGTCAGGAGGTCAGCAGGTCCAGCCCACCTGCAGCAGACTGCCTAGGAGAAGGAGGCTTCCTATGTGGTGACTGGAGTGGGGCTGCTGGCGGAGGCAGATGATGCCTACCCTCCTTGTTGTCTGAACCACAGCCTGTCTGCGATCTGGGGGGACTGGGTGACCTGAACCCCCTCCCTTCCGCTTCTCCCTTCCCTACCGCCGGAGGTTAATATGTCTAGGCAGGAAATTTAGGAACTGTAGGTTGTAATTTAGCTGCTCCGGTGACAAGCCTTATTTTCAGTCCTTTATAACCAAGATGTCATCTTTACCTCAGCTACGCTACCTAGGTCTCTATCATATCACCCTGCAATATTTTCTCCAGAGCATTAGCTCATACTTTCCTTCCATGCTGTTAATTTTTTATCTCATTGATTCTGCTTGTGCTATTTCCGCTTTGTTATTATTTTAGCCTAGTTTTGACTCTACTCCTCCTTTTATGTCCCTGACTCTATTTCATGACTCCTCTCTATAAATATCATTCCAACATCAGCTTCGGTTGCTAATGGCTTCCTTCTCTCTGTGTCCTCAGTTTATATTTCCCAAAGTGGAATTGTGTTGAGTCTGTAGAGGAGGAAAATGTAATTTTCCTTCTACTATTCTAAACCCTCTCTATGGCTCCTATACCAAAATTCAGATTTACAAGAGAAAAATAAGCGCAAGTCTGTTAACATGCATACATCATATATACATGGGAAATACCCAGGGAAAATGAGTAGCTCTCCCAGGTGGCTTAGAATTCAGGCTTAAGTACCATCTTCAGCCGAAGACAAAAAGAAATAAGCGTATGGGAAGCCAGTTATAAGGAGGTGACCAGGAAAAATAGGTAAACAAGTATAAGGTTTGTTATGCAGATTTAAGCAGGTGCCTTCTCCATTGATAAGCATTTCTTATGATTTAGAGTCTTCCTCCTCTCCCTGGTATACCCTTAGCAGAAAGTGAGACACCCTGAAGGTGATTCCCTTCCTAAAGGGTAACTACCACACAGTTTCCAGAGCTTTTCCTGTTTTCTCTGCTGTTTCTCAAAATCATCAACTCAAAATGATTCTTATGCCAGAGGCATATTTTGGAGTGATAAATCCTGCCACCCTCCTAGTCCAGAGTATTTTTTAGCCACAGCATAGGTCAAGGGTCAGCCTACAAATCAGCTGTCCTTACTGTGCAGCTCCACTCTCCACTCCCACTGGCCGTGGCTGGGGGAAGGGAGGAGAGGGGGTGGCACAAAATATTGTTGACTAAGACCACCTTCTTCAGCACGGGCCCTGAACGGAGCAACTTCCCTTATAAAGTCTGCAAGCAGAAGAAACGCATTTCTAGACACGGCTGGAAAATGCCTGTAGGGATGTCACTGCAACAAAGGGTTGGAGAAGTTTGCTTTTGGAAAAACAGCCTGAATTTTCCCCAGCCCCATCATGCATTCCCTTGGGGACTCACTGCCTCATGCAGGTCCTATATTATCCTGTAAGACACTGACAAAGGCCTCCAGACCCCAAATACAGTTGACCTTATTCAAAGGTGAACTGTGCTGCCCCATCTATATGAAGGTTTTTAAAAAGAAATTCCCATACTGGTTTCAATCTGTGGTTGGGAATCCCGACGTGGAGGGCCAACCGCACGCAGTGATCTACACCACTTTATACAGGGGACTTGAGCATCCCCGGGGTGGGGGATGGGGGTGGCATGAGGGTCCTGGAACCAACCCTCCTACCCCTGTCCCTCAATTACCAAGGATAGTTAGGTTTTTGGGAAATCGAGAATTGTACAAGGGGTGGAGGTCAGCACCCCTAAATGACAGCTCCCCAGTCGCCCTCCTGTTGTTCAAGGGTCAGCTGAACTTCTTGTCTCCAATGAATGCTGACTGGACATTTCCTGCTTCTCCAAACTACCTCTTTTCTAGCCATGGTCAAATATCTCCCTTAGATTAATGGAGAAAGCAAGAAGCACTTCACCATTTGTCCTTGACTTACGCAGTGTGATATTTTTCCAGGCAAGTGTGAAGATTGATGAAGCATTTGTCATAAAACAATTTGACATCGACTATCAGAGCAAACCAAGCTGCGGTGGACTCCGCCTGATGAGACTCGACCAGGTCCCTCCGGAATTAAGGAAGGGTATGGGGCTCAACAAACGGCAGGAGGCGGCATTTTTCAAGGAACAACAGCAGAAACTTGAGGTAATTGAAAAAGGGGAGAATGCTGAAAATCAAAGAAAATTAAGTTGTATTAAAATCTTAAATGTTCTTGAATTCTGGTACCACAAGGGGCACCAGTCTTTTTCAGTAGAATTCTTGACTTTTTTTATGTTTAATAAATATTTGTTAAATGAGTGAATATTTAATACACATAACAAATATCGTCTCTCTGTGTTTCATAAAATAAAATTTCTCTGTGTTGAAATTCTAACAGTCAGTGGAAATATATGTGAACAGTTATTGTTGCAACAATATAATGCTGCAATTAATGATTGTGAGCACTGTTCATTTTATGTCCAAAGAATTCTTGAATTTTTAGGGTTGTGTAACTGACAATAAACCATCGTTCGTGGTCGCAGGCTCGCCAGATCATCAATAACTTGCTGTTTCCCATTACTAATGTCCTGTGAATATGTAACAAGCTAAAAGAGAAGGGGCATAACTTGCTATCTTCCAAAGGGAAGTACTGTGGGCCCCTAAGTATTTTTCCACTTTTTTACGCAATGTGTTATTGCAAATATATACACAAGTCAAATGTGCCAATCGAACAAAAACTTAAGTGCCTAAATGGGAGTTGAGGGTTGGGGTGGGGAAAGAGTTCCTTTCTCTGAAAGTGAAAAACAACATATAATCTCTAATTACTCTCTTCATTTTACACATAATCTTTGATAATATATTTCCAATATTTCAGAGATATTAACCTTGTCCTTTACAATCGAACACAATTGTCAATTTTTACATACATCATGTTTTCTATCCTTGACTCTGTTGCCTAAGGTTTATGAAAAGTGTGCATTCCATCACTCATATCAGGTCTGAAAATTTTCATTTTCCTCTCATTTTCCTAAAGGGGAAAATGCAAACTGCTGCTGGACAGAAAAATTATGTCCATCACACCTGGGGCCTGAACCAGTGCTTGTCCTGAAGCTGGGCTGAATGAAATCACTCAGTCCTTGTATTTACAAATTATTGCACAAACACTTTATAAACTACCGTGGTTATTGCTGAAACTGAACTTTTGACTGTCGGATGGAGGGTCACTATGCAAAAGTTCAAAATATATAATTCCACACGGTCCTGCCGAAAGGACTTCCTTTGACACTTCTTCTAGTGTAGATCTGCTGGTGATGAATTCCTTCAGCTTTCGTTTGTCTGAAAACATCCTTATTCTGCCTTCCTTTTTAAAGATCGTTTTGTGGTTACATAATTCTAGGTTCACAGTGTTTGGTTTGTTTGATTGTTTTCAGAACTTTAATGTGTTGCTTCACTATCTTTTTGGTTGTGTTACTTCTGATGAGAAATCTGTTATCCTTGTCTTTGTTTTCCTGGATGTGTTCTATTCCTTGGCTGTTTTTAACATTTTCTTTTTTCCCTGGTTTCCAATAATGTTATTATTCCATATGTTGGTGTATATTTATTCATAGTTCTTGTGCTTGGGGTTTGCCACACCTCTTTGATCCACGGATTTATAGTTTCCATCAAATTTGGAAAAATTTGACCCTTATTTCTTGAAATACTTATAAAGACAGCATTTTTGGCCCTCAACCCCGCTCCCAGGACTGTAATTACATATAGTTAGGCTGCATAAAGTTGTCTTACAGCTCGTTGCTGCTCTGTTCAGTTTTTAATTCTCTTTTCTATTTCCGTTAATGTGTCTTTCAATTCTCTAATGTGTTTTTCCCTGCAATATCTAATCTGATGAATAATATCTAATATTAGATTAATAATATCTAATATTAATCTCATCCAATGTATTTTTCATCTCATACATTTTATAATTTTCATCTTAAGAAGTTCAAGTTGGGTTTTTTAAAAATAAACATACCTTCTGTGTGTCTATGTAATCTTTTGAACATATGGAATATAATTATAACTCTTTTGATGTTCTGGTCTGCTAAATCTAACATTTGTATTGGTTCTGTGTGAGTTGACATTAATTGATTTATTTCCTCAGTGTGGACCATGTTTTCTAGCCTCTCTGCATGTGAGGTGTATTGGGTAGATGCCAGACACTGTAAATCTTACCTTATTGAGAGCAGTGTGTATTTTTGTGTTCTTCTAAACTTGAGTTTTGTTCTGGGATATAGTTAAAGTTACTTGGAAAAGTTTGATACTTTTGGGTCTTGCTTTTAAGATCTATTGAGAAGAGTCAAAGTAACGTTCAGTCCAGGGCTAATTCCCTACTGCTGAGTGTTCTACCCAGAGTCCTGTGAGTCATTAGATTTCTCGGGAGGGAATGGGCATTGTCCTGGCCCTGTGTCCATGCTGGGGACTGTTCCCTCTAATCCTTTCGGTTGTTTTCTTCTGCGACCTCTGGCAGTTTCCTCCCACACATGCACAGAGAGGCTGCGTAAACCTCTGGAATTGCCTTTCTGTGCAGCTCTGGGCTGCAAACTTGAGCTGCCTTAATCTTCATGGATTTTCAGTTCTGTCTCAACTCAGAGAGTCCTCTAGGCTTCTCCTGGGCTCCTCACTCTCTCCAGACAGTAAACTGTGGTAATTGTGGGGTTTATCCTGTGGTTTCCTGTCTCTGGGCATCATTGTCTTTTGTTATTTAATGACCAGTGTATTAGAAACAATTTCTTCATATATTCTGCTTTTTTTCTGGGTTTTGGTTGTTGTTGGTGGAAGGGTAAATCTATTTACCCTGTTCCACAAGTGGAAGTACGTTTATTTTTTTATCCCACATACTCTCAGGCCTGCTACAGTCTTTTCTTTGGTTTCTTTTCTGAGCTTTCCATTTTTAGTTTTTTGAGGAAACTCAAAACACTATGTAATTCAGAACACTATGTAACATATCAGGTGGTGATAAGTGCTATTAAGAAAAATAAGGCAGGGAAAGAAGACAAAGACTATTGTGAGGTGGTTGTAATTTTTAAACTTGGTGGTCAGGAAGTATACTACTGAGAAGATAATGTGAATTAGCTAAGGGAGTATATTATGTGCGTATCTTGATGAAAAACTTTATGGCAGAGAAAATAGTGAGTGCAAAGGCCGTCAGGCAAAAGCATGAAGTGAGTCCTCTAGGGATAGCAAGGTGGGGTCGTATACTTGGTATGGAGGGATCACAATGCTCAGTCTAGCTCTGAGATATGGGATTTTCCTTCCCTTTTTTCCACCCTCTCTGTTTGAGACGGGTGTATCTGGATTGACCCTTGAATGTCCAACACATTCTACCTCATAGTTTAAATGTGAGAAGGGAAAAGGGCAGAATCTTTGTGTTTTTTGTTTCTTTGCCCCTCCAAAGCATTAGACCCCATTTTGTGATGAGACAATACATGGGTATTATATCCCCAGTATCTGGCTATGAACCAACAGATGCACTACTGAGGAATGGGAGACAGAACAAAATTACATTTATTTTTCCTCCTCTTTCTTCCAATTAAATAGGCAAGAGACTGGTATTGGATAGCATTTTGATCAAAAGTAGTATTTACAAGGCTGAGCACCATGCTGGTTTATCATTTTAGTTGATCGAATATTATTTAAGGTCGTTACCCTTTGGTAAAATATGTAGTGTTTTTTTTTTATTTTTAAATCATGTTTATTCTATTACAGCTGTCTCAGTTTTTCTCCCTTTGCCCCCCTCCACCCATCCCACCCCGCCCCCTTCTCCCACAGTCAGTCCCCACTCTGCTGTCCATGCCCACGGGTCATTCATACATGTTCTTTGTTTAGTCCCTTCTCCTTCTTTCCACCATTGTCCTCCTTCCTCATCCCCTCTGGTCACTTTCAGTCTGCTCCATGTTTTCTTGCCTGTAGTTTATTTTGTTCGTTAGTTTATTTTGTTGAATAGATTCTACTTATAGGTGAGATCATATGGTATTTGTCTTTCACCAGCTAGCTTATTTCACTTAGCTTAATATTCTCCAGTTCCATCCATATTGTTGCAAAAGGTAAGAGTTCTTTTCTTTCTTTCTTTCTTTCTTTCTTTCTTTCTTTCTTTCTTTCTTTCTTTCTTTCTTTCTTTCTTTCATTTTCTTTCTTTTTCTCTTCTTTTTAAAATGCAGATTGATTTTATTCATTTATTTTTTAAATGTCAAAATCCATTATAAAATATAAAAAACTTTAAATCTATTATAAAGTCTCAGCAATTAAACTGACATGACACCAGCACAGAAATAATCAAGTAGATCAGTGAAATAAAATGAGCATTCTAGGAACAAACATATATATCTGTCTAACAATGTAATATATGGTTAAATTGATATTTCAAATTAAGGGGGGAAATAAGGCTTATTCAACAAATAAGGTGCATAGACCACTATTACTTGAAATAAAACAAATATAGAGCCCTATTTCACACATTATACAAAAGATATTCAGGTGAGTTAAAAATCAATATGTAAAATCTAAGGAGTTTTAGGAGAAAACACCAAATAATATTTTTCTTACCCTGAAGTAACATATCCAAACCCAGAAGCTATAAAGTAAAATATTGACAATATGACTATATTAAACATTTAAGATTATATAGTAATGTACATATAAAAAAAGATAAAAGACAAGTAATAGAAAAGGAAAGTATTTACAACACATCTAAAGAGGGTTAATAGTTGTTTTTTAGGGAAAACATTCTACAAACATTTAATCAAAAAATGGATAAAGAATGCCAAAACGTCATTTAAAGCTTTTTAAAAATAATAGAAATAAACAAGAAATATACAAAAACAGGTTTAGTTTCAACAAATAATAACACTTAACCAAAAAAAAAAAAAGGGTACTTTACGGTTTTTTTTTTAAAAAAACCCCTCTCCCCCCCCCCCTTTTACACGCTGGGGTAGCACCCCCCCTTTCCCCCTTTTTTTTTCTTTTTTTTTTTTTTTTTTTTTTTTTTTTTTTATTTTTGTTTCCCTCCTTCTTTTCCCCTTGCTTCTTTTCTCCTTCTGGTAGACCTAGTATACTGAGATTAGTGCATTTCAGGTTGTCCTGCATTTCTCTCAATGCCTCTTCATTCTTTTTGAGTCTTTTTTCATTTTCTTGCTCTTTCTGGGAGCTTTTTTCTACCTTATCCTCCAGTTCACTGATTTGATCCTCTGCTTCATCTAGCCTGCTTTTGATTTCTTCTACTGTGTTCTTCAGTTCAGAAATTGTATTCTTCATTTTCTCTTGTCTCTTATTGATAGTTTCTATGTCCTTTTTCATGCTGGTATAGTTTGCAGTAAGTTCCTTGTAGTTTCCCTGTAGTTTTTTGTAATTCTCTCTGAGCTCACTGAGCTCATTGAGCTTCCTTAGAACCATTGTTTTGAACTCAAGATCTGATAAGTTCTCTTACCTTTATTTCATTTAGTTCTCTTTGTGGGGATTCCTCCTTTCCCTTCGATTGGGGGGCATTTCTTTGTCTTTCCATTATTTGTGAGACTCTTATTTTTTTGCTTCTGGTTATTAAATTGATCTGTCTTGATTTCCTTACTTTGTGGTGTGAACTTCTTTAGGAGGAAACCACTGTTTTTTTTCTTTCTGGAACTCACATCATGATGTCAGATATAGACCCTGTCTGATCTTAGGCAGTCTATTCACGACTTCCAAGAATCCACTGTCTGTGGCTGTCTCCTTCATTTGTTAATCTAGTCACTCTGCACTCAGCAGGCCAGTTTAGAGACAACCCAGGGCAGGGCAGAGTCCCTGCTGGGGGTGGGGTCATTGTGTCCTCTCACACTGTTGCCACTCAGGGGAGTGGTCTGCCTGAGCCAGATGGCTGCTGTCATATGGGGGAGGAGTTAGCACCAGCATTCCATCGGCTACTCTCTCAGTTCTCTCCCCAAAGCCTCCTTCCCCAGTCTCTCCTCAGGCATCTCCAGCTGATTCTGCCCCCAACTCTGCTGAAGCCCAGGGTAAGTGGCTGCAATAAAAATTTATGCATTGGCCCTTTAAATGGCTCTTTGCATCTCCAGCCTCCTATTGCTGACAGAGAGGAATCCTGCCGCTTCTCATAGCTGTCTGTTTTCTGTGTACTTTTTGGACTCTGGTGCCATAAGCTGGAGATCCCTGCTTATGGTTTAGATCCCACTCTTCTCAGGGGGATCCAACTGGCCATTTCAATATCCTTCTGGTGCAGCCACCAGTAGACGCCCCACCTGTCTTCTTGAGTCTCTACCGCACTCCTTACCAGTTAGGTTGTGCTAAAGCTGATTCTTTTGTCTGTCTGAGGTTATAAGGCTCCTCTCTCACTATTGTTCAGTTTCTTTGTTCCAGGTGATTCTCCACAATTTAGTTGTAATTCCAGGTTGTTCCTGGGAGGAGGTCAGTGTAATTGCCACTCATTCCTCCGGCATCTTGATTCTCCTCAAAATATGTAGTATTAACATGATTTCTAGCTGCTTTAAATAATTATTTCCTTTAATCTTCCCAACAACTCTATGGGGTAGATACTGCTATCTTAGTTTACAGATAAAGAATTTAAGTAAGTTGCCCATGGACTTTAATATATGCTAAGTGGAGGAGGCTGGATTTGAGCCCAGATCTGTCTAAATCCAAAGACCATGCTTAACTACCTCATTATTTTCTCAATCTTGAACTTTTGATGTTACCTTTGTAAACCAAAGCATACTGAAATGTCTTGGAGTACTTCAGCAAGGATTAGTCATAAGTTCAAAATAAATGATATTGCTTTTGTAAGCAAAATTTTTATCAAAATGACAAACCAAAAAAACTAATGAAATTGGGAATTATGTTATTTTCTATAGAATCCTTCTAAACCAAAATACGTGAAGATGAGGTATGGAGCGTGGTATCTCAACCCCAAGCTGTGGAAAAAGCAAAGAGCAGATGAACCTTTGGTTGACCCCAAGGTCTTACGTAAAGCTCAAGATGAGAATTTAAAAAGGGAGCTACAGGAAAAGGTATGTTTATATGTTGTGATTTGATCACCTAAGCTAAACATTATCACAGTGCAGCTGCTGCCTCACGTCAAACAAAGCCAGAGTCACTGTAGTAATGCAGAGGCTCCCAGAATTTTTATAGTTTGCATATTGACACCATCAATTAGAAAACCAAGTCATTAGATGGGGACTTTGTAATAAGCAACACTTGAAATCTCCTGGCTTCATGGTAGACACAATGCCTCCAAAGATGTGGCATTGTACTCATTGGCAACCACTCATTGTACTCCTACCATTCTTGTTTCCATTCCATGGATAAATTGGCTGTCAAAAGAGTGGTGTGACCTTGTAAGACCACTTGAGTGCTCAGAATGGATATAACGCCATGGGTTCTCTTTGAGTAGCTAAATGTAAGGCTTACTTACTATTTTTTTAATCAACAATGAGTGAATGTTAAAGAATATCTAAACTTCAACCAGGAAGCTTCTTTTATGCAGTTCAACAGAGTTGCAGAATCTGAGGGAAAAAGGACAAAGGCTGATATCACAAAGTAACAAACACACACAACAAGAATGTCCTCTAATTCTACTACAAAGAAATTCTGCTGGCTGATCTCCTGTGTACAAGTATCTAAGGGAAAGGAGATCCTCATGGTAGTCCAGAAAACTTGGAAGTACTGATGCAACACTTGCACAGGACTCTAATGAGAATATTTGTGAAACTCTTTCAGCAGATCCAAAACTCCTCCCAGACCTCAATGTGAAAACACTTTAAAAAATTAAAATGCTATACAAATTGAGCCACTCATTCATTCCTAAATTACTCATTAGTTGTCTGCTTTAGATTGGAGGAAGAATGTCATTTTTACTTTTTCTAGTACTGGGTATGAAATTCTTATTTTGAGATGTGAGACATGACACAAATTTATGAATGAAAGAAACTAATAGTAAGCCTCAAAATAATGTTAATAATATTCAGCAGAATTTCTTGGTGTATGGTTTTTGGAGGTGCCTACCTAAATTTATGTGAATTAATGCATAACAGAAAACTATTTTAGTTTTCTTTATAATAATGAAACTTTCTCAATTAAATATTGTAAAAGAAAAATGGCTACAAAACTACTGTTTTAAGGCATCTAGAAATACATTTTATAAATACATTCTTAAAGACTGATTATTAAAGACAAATAATTTTCCAAAAATATTTTTTACAGCAAAATGTAGTAAAGATGTTTGCCAAAATGGTTACAGTCAGCTCATGAAATATTACTTCATGAAAAGAAGTAATATTTAAATTTTGGAAATATGGCTGATAATAAATATTATAGTACAAGACTGTTTATCAGGCAGTTTAGATACAAGAAGGGTTAGAAACAATGGAGTTGTTCTATAGTGACTTCTATAAATCACATTTTTGTAATACTTGAAGACTGATTGACCTGTGTACTTTAGGTGGTGCCTCTTGGCTATGGCACCCCAATCTACAAGACACAGGTGCAGTGATGAGCTTGTAAGGGACAGCCACTGTGATGCCATGGCTGTCTTTCTGATAACACATGAGTTTTCATGGTTATTGATTGAGTTTGTTTGGAAGGTGAAATGGTCTTAAAAAACTGAATTACAATGATAAAACCTTACACATTCGATTTTTTAACTCAAATAAATGAAAGGAAAAACCAAATGAATGCTTGAATACTCCAAAGTTACTGGGACTAGATCAAGTTTGTTTTTTTTTAAATCAAATCTTTGGAGTTAAGATTTATAAATTGTGAATATAATGTTGAGTAGGGAAAACACTACTGTTTCTCCCTCTACCACTGTCAGTTCTGATCACCAAATATGTCAGGGTTTTTCCCTCACACACCAAGAAATTCTCGGATTCGGCAAACACCAGCTGGGTGCCCTGCACTTTAACTCAGTTCTGACATTATTTGCCTGGAGATTGAGTTACATCCCACAAGCAAAGGGCCCAGTCCCATGAGACTGCCCTCACTTCAGATGCCAGTCTCAAGTCCAGGTTGTCATCTGTGCTTCTGTCCAGCTGGCTCTACACATTGCAGGTTCCCACAACCCTCTCCTCAGGTTCAGTTATCTGCCAGAGCAGCTCACAGACCTCAGGAGAAGCGTTTGCTTCTTAGGTTATCATTTTGTTATAAAAAGGTACACTCAGCCACAGCCAGCTGGAAGAGAATCATAGGGCAAGGTTTGTGGGAAGGGGCATACATGGAGCTTCTGTGCCCTCTATAGGTGTGCCACACTCCCAGAACCTTCACAAGTTTACCACCTGGAAGCTCTCTGAACCTCATCCTTTTGGGGTTTTATTGAGGCTTCATTACATAGCCATGATTGATTGTTGGCCAATGGGAGGTGGAGCCGAAAGTGTCAACCCTCTCATCACCTGGTTGATTCTTCTGGCAACCAGCCCCCATCATGGGTACACCAAAGATCACCTCATTAACATAAACTCCTGTGTGCTTGAAAGGGGTTTGTTATGAATAATAAAAGACACTCCTTTCACCTTTGTGGCTCTTAACATTTAGGAAATGCAAGGGTTTTAGGAGTTCTGTGCCAGTTGTAGAATGAAGATGACATTAGTTAATAAAATTTTGTATGTTTCAAGTGTGTAATTCAATAATACATCATCTGTATGTTGCATTGTGTGTTTACCACCCAAAGTCAAGTCTCCTTCCATCATTATATATTTGACCCCCTTTACCCTTTATTACCCCCACCCCGCTTTCCTCTGGCAACCACTGTACTGTTGTCTGTGTCTATGAGTTTTTGTTTGTTTGTCTGGTTTGTTCATTTGTTGCTTTCAGTTTTATATCCCACATCTGAGTGAAATCATATGGTTCTTGAACTTTTCTGTCTGGTTCATTTCAGTTAGCATGATATTCTCAAGATCCATCCATGTTGTCACTAATGGTAGTGTTTCATCTTTTCTTATGTCTGAGTAGTACTCCATTGTATTTGTGTACCACACCTTTATCCAATCATTTATCAAAAGACACTTAGATTGTTTCCCTGTCTCGCCCACTGTGAATAATGCTACAATGAACATAGGGGTACATATTTCTTTGTGAATGATATATATCATAGTATCATAATTGTTATTCTTAAAATGTCTGGAATTAATTCCAGATATTTAGGCAAATAACTGTGTAATTGCTAAAATGTGTGCTTTGGGTGTTTTTTTTCCTACCTTGTCTTCCAAATCACTGATTCGACCCTCTGTTTCATCCTAACCTATTGTTTATTCCTTCCAGTGTATTATTTATTTCAGATATTGCATTCTTTATTTTTGACTGGTCCTTTTTTATGGTTTCTATGTATTTTTTCATACTGTTGAGTATCCCTATAATTATTACTCTAAACTTTCTGATAAATTTCTTGCTTCCATTTCATTTAGTTCTTCTTCTGGAGAATTCTCTTGTTCTTTCTTCTGGGGACTACTTCTTTGTCTTCCCATTTGGCTGTCTGTTTCTATGTATTAGGTAGATTAGCAAAGACTCTGGTGCAGGCCTATGTCAGACACTGTGACTGGCCTTGGGCACCTGTTTGGGGCTGTCAGCATTCCATAGCTTCTGACTCCCTCTGCTGGGTCTGTCTGTGTGCAGAAAGAGCCAGGCTGAACATCAAGGCTGCCTTCTACCAGTACCAGGCCCAGTGGGAGGTCAGCTAAAGTCTCAGAGCTCCCAGAGATCTGCTTCCACCTGCAGATTTTCTGGAGGAATACAATAGCCCCACCCTCTGGACTGCCTGTCACCCCACCATGCATAGCTCATGCCCTGCAAAGGAGTCTGGGCTGGGGTATAGAAGTCTGAACAGAATCAGAGGAATGTCAGTAACTGAGTTGTGTGATTCTGGGGTGCGGGCCATTCTCCCCACTTTCCCATGAACCTGACAGTGCCTCTCCATCACGGGAAATCATCTAGCCCCACTCTCCCAACTCATGATAGCCCCACCATGCTGAAGTTGGTTGGGCTCCCAAGGAGGTCTGGGAAGAATCTGTAACAGACTGAGTTGTGTGGTTCTGGGGCAGGTGCCTCTCCCTGTACTGTCCTGCAAGCCTGACAGGCACCTATCCCTCTTGGAAGATCCATTAGCCCCACACTCTCAACTACTAGCAGCCCTGCCCTGCTGAGCTCAGGGTCCCAGTAGAATCTAAGACAGACTGAGTTATGACTCTAGAATGGTGCCATTTTCCCCTTGCATACTTGACTGGTGCAGAATTCGCCCTTCACACAGCCAGATCTTGGTCTCTTCAGGCCTGATAAACCTTACTGGCCTCACACTATGACTCCCTGAGACCCCCGTACCACCACAAAGGTCTGCTGTCACCCGGTGGGTGGCAGCTGGACTTGATATACTCTGGGGCTTCTGCTGAGTGGCCTCAGACCCACTCTGGCACCAAGTCTGAACCTGTATTAATCTGATAAACACCACTCACCCCCACCTGGTGACTCACTGAGAACCTACCTCACATAACTTTAGTACTGCCAGAGTCTCCTTCAGGGACTGAGCCTCACAGGCAGCTGACAGGCAGAGGCAGGTTGAGGTGGATCTCAGAGTGCCTTGGACCTTTTGCTGACTTGCCCCGTTGGCTCACTGCTGATGGAAGCCAACCTTGTTACACAGCTTAGTCTTTCCCGTGCACACCCAGGCCCAGAAGGGTTAGCTACAAATTGTGGATCACTTTGTTGCCCAGGGACACATGCAGGCAGTATCTGACAATGACCTGCACTGGAGTCCCTCCCAAGAGGCCCCAGAACCAACACATCCAGTTGTTAGCTTCAGACAATGTCAGTGCAGCATCCAGTTAGCTTCACAAGTTGCATATCCAAAAAAAGATCCTGGCAGGCACCAGGCCTTGTTGAGGCAAATTCTGCTTCATATGCTCAGCACCTGCATAGTAGCTTGTATAATGTGGTCAGATTCAATCCTCCTAGCCTGAGGGTTGCCGCCACGCACAAACAAGCCAATAGCAATCAAGACTCAATTACATCAGAAAGGCTCACATAACCCACACAAGAAACGTTCTGGAGCACCTAGCTCAGGTGATCAAGGAGACTACACCACTGGGTCCCACAGGACACCTACTATATAAGGCCACCCTACCAAGACTGGGAGACATAGCAGATCTACCTTATATATAAAAACAAACACAAAGAGGCAGCCAAAATGGGGAGACAAGAAACACTCCCCAAATGAAAGAACAAGAGAAATCTCTAGAAAAAAGAGCTAAACGAAAAAGAGGCAAACAATTTAACAGATGATAGAGTTAAAAAAAAAAAGGTTATATATATGCTGTTCAGGAACTTAGTGAGAACTTCAACAGCATGAAAAGAGACATAGACACCATAAAAAAGAGTAAGTCAGAAATGAAGAATATAGTAGCTGAAATGAAGAATACACTAGAAGGAATAAACAGTAGGTTAGATGAAGCAGAGGATCTAATCAGCAATTTGAAAGACAAGGTAGCAGAAAACACCCAATCAGAGCAGCAAAAAGAAAAAAGAATTAAAAAGAAAATGAATAGAGCTTAAGAAACCTTTGGGACAACATGAAGCATAACAACATCCGCATCATGGAAATACCAGAAAGAGAAGAGAGTGAGCAAGGGATCAAGCACCTATTTGAAGAAATAGTGGCTGAAAACTTCCCTAATCTAGTGAAGGAATATGACACACAAGTACAGGAAACTCAGAGAGTCCCAAACAAGTTAGTCCCAAAGAGCCCTGCACTAAGACACATCATAGTTAAAATGTCAATGTTTAAAGACAAGGAGAGAATCCTAAAAGCTGCACAAAAAAAAAAAAAAAAAGCTGGTAGTTAAATACAAGGAAGAACCAATTAGGCTGTCATCTGATTTCTCAACAGAAACATTTCAGGCCAGAAGGGAGTGGTGTGAGATGTTCAAGGTGATGAAAAACAGGGCTACATTACCCAGCAAGACTATCATTTAAAATTGGAGGAGAAATAAGGAGTTTCCCAGGCAAGAAAAAGCTAAAGGAGTTTGTTAACACCAAAACAGTATTTCAACAAATGTTAAAGGGCTTGCTTTAAGAAGAAAAAGAAAAAGAGAAAGAAAAAAAATGGAGGAAAGTAGTCAAAGAATAAAATGACACTAAATATGTATCTATCAATAATCACCTTAAATGTAAATGCTCTAGCCAAAAGACATAGGGTAGTTGAATGGATGAGAAAACAAGACCCATATATATGCTGCCCCTAAAAGACCTGCCTCAAACTGAAAGATACACACAGACTAAAAATAAAGGGATGGGAAAAGATATTTCATACAAATGGAAAGGAAATAAAATCTGGGGTAGCATACTTTTATCTGACAAAATAGACTTTGAAACCAAGGCTATAGTAAGAGATAAAGAAGGACACTACACGATGATAAAGTGAGCAATCCAACAAGAGGACATAACCCTAGTAAACATTTATGCACTCAACATAAGAGCACCTAAATATATAAAGCAAATCTTGATGGACATACGAGAAAGAGGACAGTAATAACAGTAATAGTCGGGGATTTTAACAACCTTTTGATCAACACATAGATCTACCAGACAGAAAACCAACAAGGAGACAGAGGCCTTAAACACCACACTAGATCAAATGGATTTAATTGATATCTTTAGAGCATTTCACTACAAAGTAGCAGAATATATGTATGTTTCAAGTGCACATGGAATGTTTTCTAGGATAGAGTACATATTAGGACACAAAACAAGTCTCAATAAATTTAAGAAGATTGAAATCATATCAAGCATTTTCTCTGGCCATAATGATATGAAACTAGAAATCAATCACAAGAAGAACACTGAAAAATACACAAAGACATGAAAACTAAATAACATGTTATTAAACAATGAATGGGTCAACAATGAGATCAAGGAAGAAATCAAAAGATACCTTGAAATAAATCAAAATGAGAATACAACAATTCAAAAATCTGTGGGACACAGGGAAAGCAATCCTAAGAAGGAGATTCATAGCGTTACAGGCCTATCTCAAAAAAAATTTAAAAAAAGCTCAAATAAACAATCTAACTGTACACTTAAAGGAACTTGAAAATGAACAACTAAACCCAGAGTAGAAAGAAGGAAATAATAAAGATCAGAGCAGAAATAAATGAAATAGAGTCTCAAAAAATGATATAAAAGATCAATGAATCTAAGAGCTGATTCTGATTCTTTGAAAAGATAAACAAGACTGACAAACCTTTAACCAGACTCATCAAGGAAAAAAGAGAGAGGACCCAAATAAATAAAATCAGAAATGAAAGAGAAGTAACAACTGATACTTCTCTTTCACAGAAATACAAAGGTTTATAAGAAAATATTATGAACAACTGTTTGTATTTGTATTTCACAGAAATAGAAAGGCTTATAAGAAAATATTATGAACAACTGTAGGCCCACAAACTGGACAACCTGGATGAAATGGATAAATTCCTAGAAACATACAATCTTCTAAAACTAAATCAGAAAGAATCAGAGAATCTGCATAGACAGATTACACTTAGTGAAATTGAAGCAGTAATCAAAAACTCCCCACAAAACAAAAACCCTGGACTGGATGGCTTCACAGTGGAATTTTACCAAACATTCTGAGAACTAACACCTCTCCTCTCAAACTATTCCAAAAAATTCAAGAGGAGGGCAGACACCCAAGCTCATTTTAAGAGACCAGCATTATCAAAATACCAAAACCAGATAAAGACACTACAAAGAAAGAAAATTACAGGCCAATATCCCTGATGAACATACACACTAAAATTCTCAACAAAATATTAGCAAACCAAATGCAGCAATGCATCAAAAAGACCATACAACCACAATCAGGTGGGATTTATTCCAGGAATGTGAGGTTGCTTCATTTGAAAAACAATAAATGTGATTCATCACATAAAAAAACAGAAGGATAAAAACCCCATGATCATATCAATAGATGCAGAAAAAGCATTTGATAAAATCCAATACCTATTTATGATAAAAACTCTCAGCAAAGTGAGAGTACAAGGAAACATACCTAAACATAGTAAAGGCCATATATGACAAACCCATTGCCAGCATCATATTCAATGGGCAAAAACTAAAAGCATTCCCCTTAAGCTTGGGATAAAGACAGGGATTTTTGCTTTCACCTCTCTTATTCAACATAGTACTGGTAGTTTTAGCCATAGCAACCAGACAAGATAAAGGAATATGAGGCATCGAAATTTGAAAGGAAGAAGTAAAACTGTCTTTATTTGCCAATGACATGATACCATACATAGAGAACCCCAAATATTCCACCAAGAAAATACTAGGACTGATAAATGGATTAAGCAGAGTAGCAGGATACCATAAAAATCATAACACAAAAACATAAAAATCTTAGAAGAAAACACAGGCAGCAAAATCTTGGTCATTGCTTGCAACAAAATTTTATCAGATATATCTCCCCAGGCAAGGGAAACAAACAAATTAAAAAAAAACACACAAAATAAACAAATGGGACTACATCAAACTAAAAAGTTTTTGCACAGCAAAAGAGAACATCAACAAAATAAAAAGACAACCCACCAAATGGGAGAACATATTCACTGATGCATTTGATAAGGGGTTAATATCCAAAATTTATAAAGTACTTACAAAAATCAACAACAAAGAAACAACCCAATTAAAAAATGGAAAAAGGACCTGAATAGACACTTCTCCAAAAAGGACATACAGAATGGCTAATAGATATATGAATAGATGCTCAGTGTCACTAATCATCAGAGAAATGCAAATTTCAATTTGCATTTGAATGAGATATCATCTCACACTTGTAAGAATGGCTAGTATCAATAAATCAGCAACTAGTGCCAGCAAGGATGTGGAGAAAGGAGAACTCTTTTGCACTGTTGGTAGGAATGCAGACTGGTGCAGCCACTGTGGAAAGCATTATGGAGATACCTGAAAAAATTAAAAGCAGATCTGCCTTTTGAGCTAGTGATACCACTTCTGGGAATATATCCTAAGGAACCCAAAACACTAATTTGAAAGAACATAAGCACCTTTATGTTCACTGTAGCGTAATTTCAATTGCCAAGATATAGAAGCAGCCCAAATATACATCAATAGATGAGTGCTAAAACAACTATGGGACATTTACACAATGGAATACTACTCAGCCATAAAAAAGAAGAAAGTATTACCTTTTGTAACAGTGTGGATAGGCCTGGAGAACATTATGCTAAGTGAAATAAGCCAGTAAGAGAAAGACAAATATATGATTCTACTCACATGTGGAATCTAATGAACAAACTGAACTAACAAGCAAAATAGAGACAGATTCATAAATAGAGAGCAGTGACAGCAAATGGGAGGGAGATTAGAGGGTGGAGGGGTTGAATGAAAAGGAAAAAGGACCCATGGACATGGACAACAGTGTAATGTTTGTGAGGGTGGAGGAGGTGGGCATAAGGGAACTAAATGGTAATGGGAGAAATACAATAAATCTGAAAAAGAACATATATCTTGCAAAGATTTTATAATGTAAAAAAAATAAAATGTGTGGCTTATCCTTAATATAAGGGTCAGAAAAAAGGTAGGGAAAGGAGAGAAACTTGTGCATCTTTTGAAAGCCTTTATATGCATTAACTTGTGAAGGTAAACTACACACTGATTTCCAAATGGGAAGTGGTTAAAAATGAGGTATGTTATAGAGTTAAATGGTCCTAATTGGGACAAGTACGAAATCAAGCTTCTGACTGCTGTTTTTGTTGTTGTTGTTGTTTTCTTTTTAATGTGGACCCTCTTTTAGGAGGAGTTATATTCATTTGCAAAACTTTATGGACCAGTTGCCTTTAAGGAATTCATTCTACGGAAGGGCTACAGAATGCCAAGTGTGAGTAAAGGGTTATTTCAGAAGGATCTGCTGAGGGGCTCACTGTTGTCCATGGGAAGGCGTCAACACCCTGCCCAAAGCAAAACACTTCTTTTTCTAACTGGCACGCAGAAAGGGCATGATTTTCCCAGGCAGAGGCCAAGAGATAGGATTTGGTATTTTTCTCTTTTTATTCGGCCTATTCGGTTTCTGCTGTCAGAGGTGCTGTCTTCCTGGTGATGCAGCTGCATAGGCTTTCCCCTTAATGGGACCAAAGTAAAAGGGACCACAATGAAAGGTACCACAGTAAAAGGGAACTATGTACAGGGCACGTGCCTTGCAAACCCTGACTGGCACTGAAACACTCTGAGTTCTCTAGGAAGTACTTAAGCTTCCTTTCTTTCCACATCTAAGGACAAAGAGCTGTGGCTTGGGTCGGGACAAAATGGAGTTGGGATCGACAATATCATCATGGTCAGCCTCATGTGGAAAGAGACCAGGGCAAAAGTGCACTTCCTGGGGGCCCGCCAGTATCTTCTGTCTTTTTCCCTTTTTCTCTTCTTGCCCTTCTAGTTTCCCCTCCCTTAACTTGTAAAGCTTGCCCCAGCTGCCTCCGTCATGGAGCAGGTCCCCTTGAAAGAGTATGTGTAGCAGGGTGGAATGGGAGATTGGGAGAGGGGACTACGTAGCACGAAGTTCTGCACCCAGACCAGCCCTGTCACAAAGCAGGAAGCCAACTAAGCATGGGGCCAGAGTTGGAGCTAGGAAATAGTAAGTCATATGTTTGCCCAGCGTTCACTGGGTACACATCCCTCGGGGTCTTTGAGCGGGTGCAGCCACGGTGGTCCGGGTCCCTGGAAGTGGCATACAGAGTTTCTTTTTTTCCAAGAGTTAACAAAAACTTACACTTACTGGCATATAAATATATTTATATTGACCAAGCTAAGATCCAGACTGGTTTCAAAGTTAACTTAGGTAAGGTGAAAGGAGGTTTAGAGTATGAGGTAGAGAAGGGCTGAAAGGCTCCATGACATACCTGGGATGAAATTTCTCTTCTAGTTTTCAGCACCAATGATAGGCCTGCCAGGTATATTTAATTTATTTATTTATATACATTTACATGCTTATAATAACTGCCTATCCTATATATAAGGTCACAGAAGTATATTTATATGTATTTATATGTCTGATATATAAGATATGCTTATATAATACATAATTTTATATATGATTATATATGTAAATATATTTAAGCATAAATATAATTATGTGATATAGAAATGTGTCTATATATTTTCCTCTTGTTATGACTGTATCTATCTATATACATGTATATTTATATGTATCTATATATGCACTATATATACTATGATTTTGCTCTCAATGTTGTAATGATTCATAGTTCTAGTTAACATTCTTGGTGGAAATTTTTTTTTCATTTTGATTTGTCCCCTGTTGGTTTAATCCATTCTGTTGATGAACATTTAGTTCAATTTTGGCCAAAAGGAAGCATGGCTGACACACTGGCTGTGCTCTTTTAGCCGCATTAACTAGAGAGATGATGTTCCTGACTACATCTGAATCTCTGGGAACACCTGTCCTCAAAATCCTTTATTTTTACACCCTATATTCTCCACTTTATCAGGAGTGGAGGGAATCTATTACAGTAAAGTTTTCATATGTAGACACACACATAAATACACACACATACATATACACACAAACTATCATTACTTATTTAAATTTCTTTATGAATGACCATTCATTCTCCTTTAACTCCTATAATGTCCATGTTCACTGTGCATATACATATTCATATATGTTACATGTACTGACATACTTATATACACATTCCAGGATCTGCTGCTAGATTATTTGTTCTGTGCATCACCCATAGCTTTATTACATCTGCTACACAGAATAGAGCCAGGCCTCTAGTAGCAGGGATGAGTAGCACAAGGCCGTGCTGAGCTGGGCTGGGCTTGGGCGCCAAGCAAGTATGAATTAGATGTATGTATTTCTGATGTTGTGCAACTACCTTCCAAAATCCAGCATCTCTCATGGTCTAATTATCAGCATGAGATTTTGAGTACAATGAGACTATGTTATAGGGTGTTGGGAAACGCCCTGTCTGGTTTCAGGAACTGTAACCCTGCCACCAGGTGAGAGGACCCCAAGGTTGGAAATAATCAAGGAGGCCTTGGGAAAACAAGCCCCTGAGGAGGCAAAACCTGTCCCCCTGGCAGGGGCACAATCCCTGCCCCCCTCACATCACCTTGCTTGACCCTGTATGGTTGGTGATCCATGATGGGTAAGCTTTTTCAAGACAAGGCACAACCTAAGACAGACATCGGCTGATATGGGCAGCAGGACAAAAACTTGAGGGACACAGAGAAAAGGCAAAAAGGCCCACACCCCTTGGTTCCACTTACTCATTCTATCCAAAAGAAGTCTCCTTATCTCTTGGTGGCTCTGCCCCACCCACCTTGCTCAGGCTTGAAACAGTACTAAAGGCAGGTACAGCCTTAAACTGGATCAGGTGGTTCCTGGGGACACTCAGGCCTGGAAGTTAGTTCCTCTAAGCATGCCTTGTTCTTCCCTCAAAAGATATGATAACTGGCTCATACTGAGAAGGAGATTTACCTTATTCATAGACCCTGACCTGAGGCAGATCTCCTGTGTTCCTCCAATTGTTATCTATGATCTCTATCTGTTTTCTGTAAACATAGCCTTTTGACATTGATTGATGAGCTTTGCATCCATACCCCAGTGCATATGGTTCTCAGTAAAAGCCTTTGGACATGGGGGTTCGGGGTCTTCTCCTCTAGAGGGAAAAACCATGTCCCCTCTCCTGGCAAACAGAGAAGTGTTTGCAGTGACTCGTGTTTATTCCCTCCATCCATGACAACCCCAGGATGGGCTCTGCAGGATTCAGAGCCCCGCTCCCTCCTCAGCTGACTCTGGACAGTAGCCCTCAGATCCAGGAGTGCCCCACACTCCCTACAACGCGTTGCTCCCTGCAACAATAGAGTGGGAGGTGGTGAATTTAGGTATGGTTGTGGTTGTGGACGGAACTGTACAATTTTTGTTTGCCAGCCTATTGATAATTTTCTCTTACCCTTTTTTTTTTTAGTTCCTTGAGAAGATAAATGTCATGAAGGAATGTAAAAAGGCTCCTGTGAAATAATTTAGCATAGAAGAATTTGGGAAGACAATTAGACAGATTTTATTTACTGTATAGTATTTGGCTATTAACTCTCTCATTAAACATTACACATAATTTATGATGAGTGTCTCACCATGGATGTACAACTTTGACTTGACAATATTAATAAATTTTATACTTAATACTTGTGAACATTGCACAATGGCTTTCTGCTTTTGTTAATTAATTTTTACATATTTTTGCCAACTGTGGGATCAATAGTCACTTGTCTTCTCACATATGAGTAACATTGTAAATAAAACATAGTTATATCAGCTATTTGTAAAAATTAAATAAAACCATAAATAAAAGTAGAATTACTCTATTGCTTTTCCCAGAGTATTATTTTCCCTGGTTTTGAGAGACTACTTCCTTTATTGTGTCTTTAGAATATAATTTTCTTTCATTTTGAATTAAGCTTACTGAGTTTCCCCCCACTTTTCAGGTATATTATTAGTCTTTATAATGTGTATGTATAAGGCCATAAACCATAAAGTTTAATGGAAACTCAAGATGATAAATATATTTATTTATTTTATTGAGTTTTTCTTAGAAAGAGAAATGTTGATTTGTTGTTCCACTTATTTATGTATTTATAGATTGCTTCTTGTATGTGCCCTGACCAGAGATCAACCTACAACGTTGGTGTATTAGGATAATGCTCTAACCAACTGAGCTACCCGGCCAGGGTGCCGTATTTTTAAATAATTTTTTAGAATTAAAAAATGTTAATACTTGTGTAAGACAATCAGAAAATACAGACTAACAAAAAGAATGTAGAATGTACAGACAATTCTTATAGAGTCAACAATAATCACTCCTCACTCATTGGATTGTCAATTGGATTGTATCCTTCTAGAACTTTATGAGACCCACTCCGGATAATTTAATCAAAAAATTTATTTTAAAATTTATTAAAATGATATTGGTTCCCAGTGAGGGAGGAGCTTGGTGGAGGTGGGTAAGGAGGGGGATGGAGTCATCTGTAATAGTGTCAGAAATAAACATAAAATTTAAAAAACAATATTGGTTTCCAAAGTTTTATCAATTGCTGCTTCTGTCTTCAAATACAAAATTTCTGGGCAATGAATTTTCATCTGCCTGGTGGGTCATGATCCCATCACAATAATCTGTGCTAGGCTGACTACATTACGCTTAGTTCTGTGAGTCTTTAGTATACTCTCTATGAGGACAGGCACTATAGGGTGATGCAGTGCATTATAGAAGCAGTGAACCCCATAATGTGAGCTCATTGCTATAAAATTAGCTTCTTAGCAAGAACCACTGTTGGGTGGAATAACGAGGTGGTGAATAAGTATTCCAGAAGTCTGTGAATGTTGGTGTGTGCGAAAGTTTTTTCAACAGGAAAGCAAATCCAAATCCAGAACAAGTTGCTATTCTAGTAAGGCCACTTTTCCCAGGCTCCTTCGGTGTTTCAACTCATCACAAATGCTTGTATATTTGGTTCCTACAGCAGCCACAAAGGGAGAGCTGCTCCTCCTGCAGGTCCAGGGGAGGAAGCATCCGTTTCCGCTAGGCGAGCTGGGGTAGGATTTTGGCTTTCAGTACCAGGATTCTGACATTTAGGTGCTGAGCAGAAGATAGTATTGGCAGTGGTGGTCTGGAAAGAATCCATTTCTTTCCCTGGTTACATTGTTCTTGGCTTTGTTACATTCTAGCCTAATTCATAGCAGGGACTCAAGTTTGTGTTTAATTGCTGGGCAACTAAATATTCAACAGAAGCAGCAACCAGATCAGACTTGCTGAGGGGAAATCCAAGGTGCCACATACTGCCTGCATTTCTGCCTCCACACCAGCTTTGTTCATGAGATCGCTGGGCAACACTGGACTGCCCAGAGAAGGAAGCAAGGCTGATGTGCAGAGGATAGGCCAACTTCTCACTTGGTTGTTAAGTGCTTCCTCTACAGTGGAGGCTTTTCTGTGGTTATTCACAAAGAAACAAATATCCTCATACTGTGGTTCCTTTTTAGAGATCCCCATATAGCCCCTCCTGCTAATGTGCTTGTCTAAGTCTCTGGCTGTTTCAGCTACTGACATGCATCTCAGACCGTTTCTCCTCTCAGGCAAAGTGGTCAACTGGGTGAAATACTTAAAATTTTGTCTACTGGAGCCCTGACTGGAGCAGCTCAGTGGATTGAGCACCTGCCTGTAAACTGAAAGGTCACTGCTTTGATTCCAAACCAGTCAGGGCACATGCCTGGGTTGTGGGCCAGGTCCCCAGTTGGGGGTGTGCAAGAGGCAACTGATTTATGTCACTCTGACACATCGGTGTTTCTCTTCTCCTTCTCCCTCCCTTCCTTTCTCTCTAAAAATGAATAAAATCTTTAAAAAAAATTTTCATCTCCTGGAAAACTCCCCTTCTCAGTTGTTCTTCAGGGCCACTCTTGAGTTGGGTTACAGTGTTGTGGCGGGTCACTTTTGCTGGTGCCATCATATTGTGCCAGTTGTCTGTTCAGTCACCTGGACTTTGAGAAATTCCCTAGATCAGATATGTAGGGTGAGGAAGAAAGGTAGTGTGGTAGGAGAGAGCACACCATACAATTTGTTGTGCCTTCAATTTCCGATAAGCCCAGTCCTGTGTAGACAACTTCCACTTGATCACGAGAAGCAATATAATTTGGTAATTGAACATGTAAACTGTGGAACCCAAGGGCCTGGGTTCAAATCAGGCTCTGCCTCTTATGAGCTATATGATTATGGGGCAAATTCCTTATTCCCTCTCTGCTTCTGTTTTCTGAGGTAGGGATAATAAGTAATAACAGTACTATCTCCCAGAATTTTGAGGTGGATTAAAGGAAATACTACATATAAAGTGCTTAGAACAGAGCCTGGCACATTGTGCACACACACTAAATGTTAGCTGACTTTTCGGCTTAGTGGACCGGGTGACCCCCAGGTTATGATGAGCACCAGTTGCTTGGTTACCTAATGTCTCATGACTGAACTGCTGTATTTACTAGCACCAAGCAACAAACCCAGATTGGTTTCTCAAGAGGAGAACAGTGCTATGTCACAGAGTTCGTGGCTTGGCTGCAAACCCCTGGGAGCCTGGGCTCTGTTTTACCTTTCTGGACATGCCAAGAAGCAGCTTCTGTGGCACAGGTGCTTCAAGCCCACTGGATTCACTGGATCAGAGGGCAGGGCTCTGTGGACCAGCTAAAAGCCTTTTCTTGCCTCAGGCTGCCCTCAAACCTGGCAACCTCTCAGGTTACTAAAGAAAAGACCTGAAACAGCACATCTAAATCTGGCCTCTAAAATCCAAAGAGAAATGCAAGTAGCACCTTATTATATATCATTTCCAATACCCAGATATAATAGATGTAAATAACCTCAAGTATATATAATAATGGAAAGTTGTTAATAACTAGGAAGTGATGAGTTTTTATTACCTTTGGTTTTTAACACAATCTACTTAATAAGTATATTTAATAATGACTGGTTGTTTACCAAGTAACTTAACTAAATTTCTGAAAATGTAACAGTTGGCTTTTGTGAGGTGATACAAGCTGTCTCTAGCACATTACTGATGGTAGAATTCAAGGCAATGAGGGATGTTCGAGGTAAAGAATGAAGAGAAGTTGCTTCCCCAGCCTCCTGCCAGTTTATTTCCATGAAGGTCATTGCAGAGTCTGCACTCAGCTGGGAAAAGCCTCATACCACAGGGGAATAGGGAGAATTTCTCGATAAAGAAGGCTGCGTTAGGCGGGGTCTGACTGGAAGCAAATGGCAAAATGGGATTAGGTGTTCAAGAGGTTTAGCGGGGAGGGAGCAGGAGAAGGGGAGGGGAGCCCTTAGGTTATGATGCCCTGTGGGCCTGGGAGAGGAGAGGAGGGAGGAAGGAGGACCGAGAGAATCCTGCGCTGCTGCACAACTCAAATAAAGGTGTGGCCAGGCCAATGGTGACTTTCTTATTTATTCTGTTTTATTTGTCAAGGCTTTGGATATACAGTGCCAAATTGCTCTCCAAAAAGTGTACCTTTTTTCCCACTTCCACAGGTTGGATATGAATGCCTTTTTCTTTTTTTCCTTTTTTTGGGGGAGGGGGGTGTTTCTTGCATTATAATTTTATTTTATTTTTTAAACAGTTCATAAGTTTTTATTTTTATTCTGTTACAGTTGTCCCAATTTTTTCCTTTTTGCCCCCCTCTATCCATCCCACCCCTCCCTCCCACAGTCAATCCCCTCTCCATTGTCCATGTTCATGTGTCATTCCTACATGTTCTTTAACTATTCCCTTCCCCTTCCTTCCACCATTGTCCTCCACTCATCTCCCCTCCTACAGCTATCAGTCTGTTCCATGTTTCCATATCTCTGGTTCTATTTTTCTCATTATTTTGTTCATTAGATTCCAGTTATAAGTGAGATCATATGGTATTTGTCTTTCACCATCTGGCTTACTTCACTTAGCATAATAGTTTCCAGTTCCATCCATGCTGTTGCGAAGTTTAGTGGTTCTTTTTTTCTTTCTGCTGCATAGTATTCCATTGTGTATATGTACCATTGTTTTTTGATCCAATCATCTACTGATGGGCATTTAGGTTGCTTCCAACACTTGGCTATTGTAAATTGTGCTGCTATGAACATTGGGGTGCATAGGTTCTTTTGTATTGGCATTTTGGTGTTCTCAGGGTATAGTCCCAGCAGGGGAATCGCTGGATCAAAAGGCAGTTCCATTTTCAGCTTTCTGAGGAAATTCCACACTGCTTTCCATAGTGGCTGCACCAGTCTGCATTCCCACCAACAGTGGACTAGTGTTTCCTTTTCTCCACAGCCTCGCCAGCACCTGTTGTCTGTGGATCTGTTTATGATGGCCATTCTGACTGGTGTGAGGTGGTACCTCATGGTGGTTTTGATCTGCATTTCTCTGATGGCCAGTGATGCTGAGCATCCTTTCAAATGCCTCTGGGCCCTCTGTATCTCCTCCTTAGAAAAGCATCTGCCCAGGTCCTTTGCCCATTTTTTGATTGGATCGTTTGTCTTCTTGGAGTGGAGTCGAGTGAGTTCTTTATATATCTTGGAGATCAAACCTCTATCTGATGTATCATTAGCAAATATATTTTCCCATACGGTTGGCTCCCTTTTTATTTTGCTGATGTTTTCTTTCGCCTTGCAGAAGCTTCTTAT